TTTCCTAAGTTCAGGAGAAGGGCCAACTTAGATTTCTTTTACCAAGACATGGCCAAAGGGCATTTGATGCCTTTCAGAAATGTTAGTCATGCTGTATTTTCTGTCTTCCTTATCTCTTGATTAAACAAGCAGTTCCGTGAGGCCTTTCCATGAAACAGCAATTATGTTGACATTGTGCTCATCTGTGCCAGGCTTTCTCTTTAACAAGAAATTTCCAAGTCAAAATAACATTTACTGAACTATTAAAAATCACGATAATAGAACTAAAATGTAATATGTGAAACACCAACTCTTTAAATGTGGTAAGAGAACATATCACATGATTTAAATTGGTTCATCAATAACACAGGATGTGATCACAGATAGTCACCTGGTCTGACATAAACAGAATTCCAAAGAGACTGGTCAAACTCCTGTAAGTGTCCAAGCGATGGTCTAGGCATGTCATTCGCTTATCAATAACCACATACAGTGTTTTTATTTTAAACATCTGCCTCCCCTCAAAGTGTCACATCTTGATCTGAGCCCTCATCTGTAAATGTTTGGCATTGCATGCCTTATGTGTCAGCATGAGGAAAAGACATGAGAGTGAAAATATCCACTACATGATTAATTAAATTGTAGAAAAAGATAAAAAATATTCCTGCAAATGGCAGATTGAAAGAGTATAAAGAGGGGTGATTTAGTTTTGCTGACATAGTAATGGTGAGACCGAGGACTCATTGCCTCGTACCAAAGGTCAAATGGGTTACATGTGATGTATCCATCAAAGTGACCTGGCCGCCCTAGTGGTCTAATGACACTGTAAGCATCCAGGGACCTGGGGGACCTAGTGGCTAGCTCACGCTATAAGCATGTGATACGACTGAACAGGGTGACCAGTGAGGCAATAAACTCCTGGTTGAATTCACCCTGAGCCCTGCTGATAGGGTCCAACTCGTTGTAAGAGCTACTAGCTAACTCAAACCCACCTGTCCTTTTTTTTACCTTTTAAAAATATAAGTCATGCTGTATTTTCTATGTCTTCCGTATCTCTTGATTAAACAAGCAGTTCCGTGAGGCCTTTCCATGAAACAATGATTATGTTGACATTGCGCTCATCTGTGCCAGGCTTTCACTTTAACAAGAAATTTCCAAGTCAAAATAACATTTACTGAACTATTAAAAATCTTGACAATACCACTAAAATGTAATATGTAAAATACCAACTCTTGTGTTTATATAATATTAGTAATACTTAAAAAAAGCAAGATAATAAAGATAAAATAAAGGTAAAGTTTGACAGAGTCTGCAAATATATATATGTGCCTGAGTAAACAGGAAAATTAAATGAGGCAGGCAGACACCTGGCTTCTTATTCATCATCATAACACTCAATTAAAACTTCGTAGACCCCATTCCCACATCTTTTAAAAAAAACAATTTTAAGCTTTTTTGATGAAGATTTACTGGACATTGTAAACTATTCGCTTCAGTTAGTAAGACTTACCTTTTTTAGTCTGGCTTTTAATTTATTTTTATTAACTTGTTTATTTGTTAATCTATTTATGTTTTTATTATTATTATTTATCTGTTTTATCCCCTTTTTCAATTGATACATTTTAATATTTTTTTCTTTTTATTGCTGTTTACTTTGTGTAAATGTATTTATTTATTTTATGTTAATCAGTTTTATTACTTTGTTTAGGTATTTGTACACGTGAATCAGTTTTATTTTGTATTTCTATTCTTAGTTTTCATCTTTTCATAATTCTGCCTCCAGTGTTTCCTCACTGCAACTTCATGATATAGCATTTCTTTAGTTAGTGTTTTAATTTAGTGTTTCATTGTTAACAAAAAACATTCATTATTCTATGGGTGATGGCAGAAAAAAACTTTGGGAAAAGTTGGATAATATGAAACAAATGATTCCAAGTTCCCTTATTTATTTAAGGCTGTACCTTGCTAGCCTCCCTCTTAGTAAAGATTACCCTTGGATGCTCTTGTCCCCCCTTTCTTGCAGTTAAGATGATTCTGGGTTTTCAGGCCAATCTGAAGCTGATGTGTGAGCTGCATTTTCCCCAGGCTGACAGGTAGGTCTCACAATTTCCATTCTAGTCTCTGTTTGCTTTGGGACTCTCAGTCAGTTCTGTATTCTGGGAGTTTCCTCATCTGTGTCTATCAAATCACTGTTCTGAGACAGCTCCCTCTGGTTCTGCCAGTGTCTGGGGACACCCTGTAGACACAGCCTCATTATCACTTAAGGGATAGGACAGCATCCAGGTCCTTTGGGTTTATCGTCACTCGCTTTGCAGAGACCAGCCCTTAATGTTATCTTAAAAAGATTTCCATTTACACTGCAGGCTGTTAAGCATTTCCTCCACACTTCTCTAAAAAGCAGCTGGAGCATTAGAGGCCGAATGGTATCCTCATCCATTCATATAAGCCCCATGTTGTGATGAATGCTGTCATGTGATTAGACCCTTCAGTGATGTAGCCCTGGTGGTAGGTCTTCAATTTTGATTTGAGTAATCTGTAGTCGATACAAAGTCTGAATGCCCCATCTTTATTTCTACCACAGACCACAGGAGCAGCAAATGGTAATTTTGACTTTACTATCCATTCCTTAACGGAAATATTCATCCTTAAAGTCTTAAAGTGATTTCTCTCTAAACACATTAAACGTGTCATAAAATAGTTATTGAAAACATTATAAAAGAATGTGAACCATGTGGTACTGAATTGTGGAGTGTGACCGTTTATCTCTTTTCACCGGTTTTGGGTTCAGGATTTTTTGGGCGGGGTTAAAAGTATGCCAAGTATGGCTCCAAGGTGCACTGGAGCCACCAACGCTTTAGCAAATGTACTGCGCACGGTGTAAAGTTATTACAACTGTTTCGTTAAAACCATTTCTTTACCGTGTTTTATCATTAGCCGCAGCCTTTGCTAGCTAGCTAAGGTATACTGTCAACATCTCGCAAATGCAACTTAACTTTACAACATTGTAAGGAGCTGCAACCTACTAACTGGATTTTATGCTAGTCAGTAATACATATTGCTAACTAGCAGCTTCCTAACTACCTAATAGGAGAAAAACTTTACCATTTTGTAGCAGACTGAGGAACAAAGTTGCTCCACGGGAAGGTCAGTGTCCTCTGACTCTGGGTCAGATTCTGGCTCTGGTGGCTCAAACATGTTAAATACAATGAAGCTGTTAGCATCCATTTTCGCGCTGTTCTAGTTACAGTATTTGACAGTTGAGAGCAGCTTCAACCCCCGTCGACATGTACAGCCTGTCAAGATCCCTAAAAACACCCAGCGTATCTCCCGTTTCCAGATGGAAATATTTGTTCACAGTTTTGATTTCCATCAACACAGGCCGGAGGAAGTGCATGTACAGACTGTTTGATTTGTCACTGTACATCTCATTCAAAAGCCTGGCTGCATAGCAGTGTTCGGCACTTGAAACCAAACTGAAGTGCAGCTTGAGGGCATCTTCCAACGGGTTGAGCTGGGGGATATGAATTTCAGAGGACAGACACCTTCATTGATGGCCTTGTAGACACTGTTATAGTCACTCTGGCGTTTTGCTGAGTGTGTGAACCGGTTGTAGGTTTCTCTTATCATATATTCCAGATTGCTTGGAAGAAGTTGCATTGCTTTATGAGCCACTATATCCAGTGAGTGGCAAACGCAGCAAATAAGCTGCAAACTAGGCTGCTTCTGTTGAAAAAAAAACTTGCCAAATGTGGACAAAAGCAGCCCAAATTTTATTCACTTGCCCAATGTATTTTTTTCCCACCTGACGTAAACAAAAGTCGCCCAATTGGGCTGCTGTCACTTACTCTGCAGCTGCGGAGTAGCATAAGAATCTCTGGGCTCACGAGTGCCCCCTACCATGAGGCAAGAGAACTGCCTGCTTCACCTAGTGCCTCTTCACTGCCGTTGTAAGATCGCTGAGCAAACGAAACAGGTTACACACACATATATTATATACACCAGCTAAACTATGGAAAGTCAGGGGGGCATATATTAAAAGTGTTTGAAACATTTGATTGGCGACATACAGACAGACAGTAACACACTCTCATTGCATGGCAGAGCACATTTTGTGATGGATTGCGCAATCCAAGGTGAGGCACAGCTTGCTGCTGCCTCACTGTGCGTCTCTTCCCCGTATCTGAACAGGAAATGCAAAAATTCAGTGATTTTTAATAAAAAACAATCAAAATTGTTTAAGTTAAATGGAAAATGAGTTCATAGTTAAAACCATTTGATAAATATAACCATTTAATTTATTTGTTTATTGTTTAATTTTTTCCATGATGACAGTGCCTCCCCTGCCTCTCCTGACCACACGTCACATTAGGCCCTTGACATTTGACATAAGCACCAGGGCGGATGATTGGACCGACCTTCACCATAGTATATTCCTCAGGTCTCTGGGTCAGCACAAAGCTCACTATAGCCTCAGCTTTAACACTGTCAATTTCTGTGGCCCCCAGCGCGGAGGTTGGCAAGGATAGGTAAGGATTTGGGTCTACATATTATGGAGACAGGCTACACAACTTTGAGTAGTCTGCATGGTCAGCTGCCATCAGACGATCAACTCCTCCCAATTTCACAAATTTCTTGACTCTCTTTAATCTTCCTCTCACTCACTCATGGACACAACCAAAGGCCTTCCTCTTCTACAAACTGGCTTTGGTTCCACCACCCTCAGCCAGCGTTGCCAAAGAGTGTTTTCTCATCAGTTTTTCTTTAAAGATGAACATATTAGGGGTTTCTGGCCATATTTTTAATCATATTTGTCAAGATAAAACTACGTGTTAGCAACCACTAATGCTCCCAGGACAAAGGCTAGAAATGTATACATTATGTAGTAAATACAAACAATGTTTGGCTCTTTTACATTTTAGAAGTAGGCCTTCAACAAGAAAAATATATCTTATAATTTATATATTATCCTCACTACCAACAATGCATAAAACAAACCCAAGAAAAAGCCGACAAGAACATGATGATGATCAGTAAATTTTTATTGACACTGAAGACATTCAAATTAGCAGAGGGTTCAGATGTTGGACAAAGATAGTTTTGATATTGTTTACACTCTTTTATTTATATAAATTATCTTTTTATTATATATATTCATAGCATTAATACAATATACTGTATATCTGAAGCCATTCTTGTGTCTTTTATCTCTCAAGTCATTTGCAGTAAAAGGAAGAGAAACACCCTCCAAGAATTAAAACACCATATCATATAGATTGCATAAAGGAACGTCTCCAAAAGCTACAAGAGACACCATGACACAAATGTGTGCTGTCATTATGGGGCACTATGCACACCTGCCTCCCTGACAGTAAATAAGGAAGTTATGACAGTCAGAGTTAAAAAGAGCCAATTTGCAGAGGTGTAGGGAGTTTCAGACCACAACATCTCTGCTGTTTGAAAGGTTTAACTTATTGGCTCGTATTTTGTGGCTGCTAAATACACAAAGGTGTGTCTTTGGTGGTCTTCACATACTGAGTCTGGATTCTCTAGTAGATTTTGGAGAGGAATTGATCAAGTTTATAAAGGTATATTAGTCAGATTTTGACTTTCCAGATGTTTACTTTACACTGTGGTGTCGATAGGACATTCAGCGACATGGCAACCGCACTTGTCAACTGAAATGTAGGTGTGCATCTTTGTGCTGCCATCAGGGCAGGACATCTCCACCTCCTTCTTACTGGTGGCCATTTCTTGACAGCATGTGCACGAATGCATCAAACTGTTGCTCTCAGCAGAGTACCTGTGAATAGAGACAGGATCAGTGTCAGTAATCTTCTGTTCAATGTCAACATTTATCTTAAAAACTGCTCTTCAGGTGGTTTTAGCATCAGAAACTCACATAGATGAAGACGCTCCACAGGATCCCTCACAGGCTGTGATTTCCACCATTACAACTGACCTGCAGTTGTTTGTATACAGATAGGTGGTGTTCTTCTTCATCTGACAGCTGTGGCGAGGAGTACCTGTGAACGACACATAAACACATTTTTCATGTTGCTCTAAAAACGACACACATTATTATTTCTGAAGGAAAATAAAATTACAAATGTATTCATGTATACAAATAAAATGTATACATCATTAGAGGTTTTCAAATAGACACAAATTTGGTGCTGAAACGATTCATAATGATTTATCGATTGGTTGACAGAAAATTAATCATCAACAATTTTGATAGTCAATGGCTCCAGATTCTGAAATGTGTGGCTCTCCTTCTTTTCTGTTGTTTTATATCACTGATAATGGAATATGGTCTCACAAAAGAAGACAGTTTGAAAACATCATCTCAGGCTCTGGAAATTATGATTTTATTTTATTTGACCTGATGAAGGTTGTAAAGACCAAACTGTTGTGTAAATATAATAAAATGTTTAGTCAGCAGAAAGCAAGGTCCGTGTTCCTTGTTATTTTGAAGTTCCTCCGAAGCACCTGTCACACATTCAGGTGTGCAGAGATTGTTTCTATATAATTTCATTTTTTTGACATTTCACAGACTAAATGATTCCTGCATGCCTAAATCTTTTTTACTTTAAAAACTTTACAAAGGGCTCACTTGTAAGTTAAAGCAGTGAGTGTGGGACTTTTACACGTAAATTAAAGGCTATTACATTCAAGCCCTTGCCAAACGAGGTCACACACTGCTAGAGCTGAAATAGGGTACAACCATAGCGAAGGAGTAGACTACAACAATGAGGAGTATGGCTGAAAACCTAAGAAGTTCTTGATGCTCTAGATAAAAAAGAAACTCTGCAATCAGAGGAGGGATTACAGTCAAGAAATAAAGTGATCCAACATCGATAACCATCAGTGGAAATGGACATATCTCCTTGCTGGGGATAATAATTAATTATAAGCAGGTGTGGACAGTTTGTGTGTAATTACTCTCACTGCCTGAAGGGGGAGACAAACAATTCGCACTGCAGGTTGACATCTTTTAAATTATGAAACTGTTACTTTTAAAGCTTGTGGTTGTGTGAGAGGGTCTATATTTATGTGTAAATAAATTTTCAGAAAATATTATATAATGTGTAATTTGAGTAATTTATTATATAGACTCGTACTTACAAGTTTTGCAACAACCGTTAATGTCACTTTGTTCCGTTCCCTGTAATAGAGATACAATATATGGATTGTAACAGAAACAACACTGACAGTATGAATGAAGTATTTATGTATTTCAGCACATTTGGTGTATTTACGTCCCTTATATTTCTACAACTAAATACATTAAGTCATCTATCTGAAAGATGTGAAACTGTTACAGTTTGTAAGATTGAATCAGTTGAGTTATTAACAAATATATTTCTCTGCCAGACAAAAGAATGTAATCTCCATTTCAGGACTAGCTTATACTCACAGGAACGCAGTTCTCTGGATCAAATGCAGGACATGTTGTTTGGTTTTTAGAGATTATAAACTCGTCCTTCACCTTTTCGCAATCATACTTGGTACAGTTATCATTTGGTGGTGACCAAGACTGAGAAGGCTGTCAGAAGTGTAGGAGAGGTCAATTAGTGAACATAAACCATTCTGACTGATAAGACAATTTAAGGTTAAAGACCATTACGCCGTACTTACTTTAATAATGATCTGGGAGTTGAAACCTGGGACGTCCAAAAAGCAGCTTGTCTTTATACATGATCCACAACATTGTCCAGGTTGCTTTTCATACACATAGCCCTGAAAAAATGCACAAATCAATATGGTCTTCAACTTCTATCACTTAGGTTTATATATAATAAGCAATTAGTAGTATTTACAGAACACTTTCATCCTTTAGGATAGATCATTCAAATTAAAAAGACATTGTTTTACATTCATGTGGTATCTAGACATTTGAATGTGCAAAGGTTTAAGATAGCCATCTCTAAGATTTCTGCTGGAACCCAAACTGAGGGCAATAAAGAAGAACAAGAAAAGAGCCTTTTCTTTAAGATTTCTGGTTAGCACACCGCTAACGAGAGTAAACAAGCTTAAGTTAGCGTCTGTGACTAAACACAAAACCTCCCAGCTGACTTCATAAGGAGGCGCAACACGTTAGCATTGAGCTCCTAACTTTTAACTCAGTACCAGTAACCTATTGTTACTCATAAAAACTTTTATTATGATTTTGGTGGCTGAAGAGATGCAAACCTATTATTGTGTGCATATAAATAACTTAATAGACTATGAATCAGCAACTGTTACCAGATCAGCATTTCTGAAAGTAAAGCTTACGAGTAAGTGACCCTTGATTAAACATTGTTGTTTTGTTAAACATTTTTGTACAATATAAAACTTTAAAGGCCTGAAATTAAAATGATTGATTAAAAATACTATACTACATACTACAATACTCTTAATATTTAAATGCAAAAGTACCTCTGCACACTGTTTGTCACACTGCTCCAGATGACACTCATGGGCTTTCAATTTGCTGGTGGGATCCTGAGCTTCAGTGCAGCTGCATGATTCACACAGGCTTTTGGAGAAATTCATACCAGGCTGTAAACAATAAAACGTAAAGTCTGAGACAGTTTCATATGAATGCCAACAAAACATATGTCACTCAACTATATTTAACTTCAATATTATTCCTATAATATTTGTTTGTCGTATACTTAAAACAGCAACAAAGAGATTTCATTTTGTGTTGATTCTGGTGGCTCCTGTGGTCAAAAGCTGTGGTGTTTCCACTGAATCGTTTAATTGATTTCGAGGGGAATCCGACAGAGTCTGACCCGGTGGCAGACATTAAAAATAACTGCATAGAAGTAGCAAATCTTCTCACTGATGGTCTTGTGTGTTTATTCAGGTCATATAAAGGCATCAGTATTACATTGAGACTGCTTTATAATCAGTTTTAAAAAAAAAGATTGCAGAGTTTTAGTAACACTTGAACAAGCAAGTATACTCTTAATAGAGCACATTTAAAATATATAAAGTATATTACTCCTTACCTTGTACTCAGTATCATTGAAGACACAGACGTCTTTGGGCACTAGATAAAATGTTAACAAGTATAATCAGATTAAAGGCTTATGCTTAGTTTAGTTTTAGGTGTTTCACACAGCAATACTATAAGTAAATGTAACTGAAAGCTATATGCTTACCACAAAGGTAAGAGGGACAGCAACTGTCATTTGACATGTGGATCTCCAACTTAAATCCCAGTTTGCACTCTGTTACCAACGAACAACGACTCCTATCACATTCTGTTGGTCAAAAGGTGAGACATTTCCAGAGTTGGTGAGTATAACAGATTACTAAATACTACTAAATTATAAAATTCGAAAAGAGGATTTATTACATTATTTTTTTAATCTATTATATTTATATTTATAGACAGCAGCAGACACTGCTATGTTTAATCATAAAGTATATATATTAAAAGTGTCTTTTAGGCCAGTAATTTCATATAAAAATTCAGATATTTACAAAAATAACAAAACTAACAACAATAATTGAAAGTATTATGTTTACATTTACAATTCATCATACCTTTGCTGTGTATTATGTTGTTTTTAAGAGAAACTTTTTAATCCTTCTTTAATATAAGTGTGCATATCTGTAACCATTGTCAATCATGAATGCATATAGTATTTGTACATGATTAGAAAATCCTTATACAGAAGATAAAAGAAGATATTACACAACTGTTTTCACACACTGAGTATTACTCCCCATGATGAGTAAACTGATGTGTAAATGTGTGTAAAATTGTGAAAGAGATCATACCTTTTCCTATTAAAACATCATAAATGTGTCAGCATAATGAATCACTCACCACATGTCAGTTTCTCACAGCAGTCCACTGTGCGGTTCACCAACACCTCACCTTCCTCGGTACAGGTTATTGGTTCTTGAGTGGGACATGAGAGAGGCTCACACTGAACACTCAGAGTGTCCTCATCACAAACACACTGCTGACAACCACTCTGCCAAGTCTCACCAAGCTGTTTGAGTGGTGGAACAGAGTTAATGTTGTAACAGCAATGAACACACTCTCAATAATGATCATGTATTGTAGCATTTACCTGTTTAGGTTGGCCATCAGGTCCAGTGCAACCTTAAACAATAAAAACAATCAATTTACCTCTACATTAATTCACAACAAAATGATTTGTCTTCACAACCGAAAATGCTCTTACAGGAGGAGACACAGATGTCAGATTTTGGATTGAACAAAGTCATCCCGTCTGGACAGAAACATCCCTCCAAGAATCCATTACAATCTTGGTTCTGGTTGCCATTTTCTCTCTGGCATTGTAGTACATTCTCATTGTATCTAAATATGAAGACAGTTGTTGGTGAAAAACACACATAATAAGAAATTACACACATCATTACATATAATGTTGTTGTGCTAGCTGCATGGCTCTAAATATAGCAATGTTGGTCTGTTGGTCCTCCACTTTGGTCCAGGCTGAAATATCTAAACAACTATGTGATTGAGTCCATGAGATTTTGTACAGATGTTGAGAGAATTAATGACTTTGGTGCTCCCCTGACTTTCCCTGTAGAGGTTGACATTCATGGTTTTGAGTGACATGTTGCAAACAACTGTCAGATGGATTGGAAAACTATTTGGTACAGAAGTGTGCTCCCCTCGGGATCAATTGTAATGACGTCGCTGGTCCCTTCACTTTTTATCTTGTGCCATCATCAAGTCAAATTTTGAAATTGCCCAATACTGCAGATACCAAAATACCTGCAAAACTAATGACCATTTACCATTTACCTTGCATTGCAGGTTGGTACAACAGTTGGCCCACAAGGCTTGTAGACTTTATTTTCTGGACATTTATAGTCTACAACAAGAGAAAGTGGATTTAAACGCCGAAATGATGAAAAAAGGATATCTGAAAATAACATTGTTTACTTTTGACTAAAACAAAACCCTCCTACCGCACTGTCCGTTTGTAGCATTCCTCCAGGCTACACAGACAGACACTTCAGCACACAGCATGGCGTACATCTCCATACTGGAACAACCAACACTGGAATTTGTGTGGCAAACATCAAATTTACAGGCCTCATAAAATGGATTTGGTGGGATTACTTTGTGGCATTCCTCAAACACCCTTAATGCACAAATAAAAGGAAAGTAGGCTGTTAATCCAAGTGATACTCCAGAATGAATTGACAGTATGTGTTCATGTTTATACAGTAAATTCTTACTTGCTGATCAAAATTTCACAAGTAACAGGATCGCAGGGTTGTGGTTTTGATGTTGGTTGTGGTGGAGGAGGCGGCTTCTCACAATATGGTTTTTTCTTATCTGGTACATGCCATTCATGTCCCATCTCAGAGCATGAAGGATGAATCTGGCCATTTGGCAATCTACAGTCGTTTTTCCTGTTATTGTCACAGGTACCTTGAGAAAGTAAAGAAAACATTGCCACATTTAGTAAATCCATTTGCACTTTACTAATAAATCTAACACTGTTTATATCGTCCCATCTATGAATGTAACATTGAGCTTCATTTGCTATTCAAAATGTTTATTCCAACAGCAAATCAAGGATCATCTTACCACACTGTCCCTCTGTGTTGTTGTGGAAAAGGGAAAATGGCAGTTCAACACTGAATAAAAGCCCTTTGAATGTCACAACTGCTTCAATTGCCGGGATTCTCAAACGGAGTTCAATTCCTGTACTTGTAATGATTATGCCATCTTTAGAGTAGGTTGGGGAAACCAGCTTGCCGTTGACGTACACCTAAATCATTGTTTACATGAAACATTTTTAATCATCATTATCATTGCATATAATTTAAATATACTCAAGTTAAGACAGTTTGTTGAGGAAAAACTTACCATGGTCTTGGTCTTCGGGATTCTCTGTATTGTAAGAATGACTTCATAGTTTTTGTAATACACAATCAGGGCTTTTGCGCACGTAACAGTTCCAGAGGCATCACAGTTTTCGTTGTCGATAAGAATCGTTAAATTGTGTTCAGGAATGATCTCTTTGACCAAAACATATGTGCAGTTTTTCTGGAAGCTGTAGTACTGGCCATCAAATGTCTGATAATGAGGATCTCCCCAGCCAGCACAAACACCTGCAAATATTAGATTGAAGTTACACTGAGTGATAAATCAAAGAAAACTGCATATATTGTAAGTTTTAAGATGTTGCTTGAATATGAAATTTTACAATGCTTATATTTGTTTTTTTTAAACTTACATCGGCACTCGTAGTGGAAACAACAGCCGGCTTCATCATAAACCCGAACTGGTGGGTACCCATTTTCACACGTAGGAATGGTGACTGATTTACATGGCACATGCTCTTTTATTACTCTTTGATTGTCACAGGTGTCTGTGGTGCAGTTGTCTGAACTCCACGACTCACCATGCTGTAAAGGCCAGAGTAGTACTTTTAGCATTCTACTACCAGTAAAATAAGTATTATGTTTGAGCCTGCATATGCACAACATATACATCAATAATTTATACAATTCAGGAAGCAAGGACAGATATAGGTATAGATTATAAGATAAATCTATACAGATATAAATTGAAATACAGTGTGAATGTGTTTTTATATATATAGTTTTGATAAAGCTAATTATCCATATAAATGGGAACCCTAATTAAATTGTATTAAATTTAACAGCCTTTGACCTTTGTTCCGACATTGTGCAACTGCTGGGAAAAGATATTTGACGATATAAGGGATTTAAATGTCATGGTACACTAGAATTTTTCCAGGAAAGAAACTGAGGTGCGAAAGTCAACAAACAGATATTATAGTAGAGAGGTATTACAAATGAGTCAGTGATTGCATGTTGAATAGGGATGAAAACTGATCAGATTTTTTTGATACCAAATCCATTATCTATTCTGCTTATTGGTCGGATTCTTTGTAGATTCCCTTATTGATTCCTGATCAAATTTCTGGAAAATGTAGGCATACACGGGTTTTCAGCATCATCTGTTATCTTTGAGCCTGAACAACAAGTACATTTATAGAAGTTTGAGTTTCTTTGTGTAGCTTTTGCAATGCATTACTGTCAGAATAAAAGGCTGGTATTGATTAAAGGAACTGATAAGATTGGTGGCATATAATTCTGTTGGATTGGACAATTTGCAAACAGTTCTCAACTGGTCAGGTTCATTTTCACATATATTACTGATATTTTATATCTGATATAACTCAAAAGAACAATGAGAGTAACAGGATACGGATTAAAAGCTCATTCCCTAAGGAAATGAAATACCTTGTTTTAGGCTTTGTTGGAATAGAGACCCTGAAACGAAGCCAGTTTAGATAAAACTTTGCAGTTCTGACTGAATTTGGGGTCAGTACATGATAACAGAGTTTTTATTTTAAGATGTTTTTTTTTATACAAGTTTACGTTTATGCAACAAAAGTCAAATACCTTTCTTGGTGGCTTGAGATATAAACAGTCACTGGAAGGTTGTTTGGTTGTTGAGCCAATTTGTGTTGTGGTGCTTGGTGTGGTAGTTGTAGGAGTAGTAGAGTGGCATGGTCTACCAAGCTTCTCAACAGTGCATGTCACACTGCAATATGCAGTGAAACACCAGCCTGCTCCATCAGTTTTATTGTACATGAAGCTACCTATATGAGAATAAAACCAAGGCAGTTAGATCAAAATGATTAGTGATACAAGACAAAATCAAGGGTTACAGCTGTCTTTAAAATGCAACTTTGTGATTACTACATGAATGTTTTCTAAATCAATACTTAAATGTAAAATCTATGTCTGGATCCTTGATCGGATACAAATATACAATATCATAAAAAGTTACGGGAAAAATAGTTGTCAATTGTAGTCATTAGAGTCAGACTACTGCATTGAATATGATGAAAAACATCTGTCGTAAATAGAATTAAGCCGATGATACAGTTATATGTGTTATATGTTACAGTGATTATATGAACAACAACTACTAACGCTTGTTGCTTACCAGGAGAGAAAATTTGATCCATGTACTTGCAGAAACATATAGTTGTTCTGCCTGGTGTTGATGGCTGAGGAGTAGAAGATGTTAGAGTTGGAGTTTCAGGAGTGGGCTTTTCAGTGGTTGTGCCACTAGGAGTGCTGGGCTTTTCTGTTGGTACTGTGGTAGGTTTTTCTGTGACCGTTGTTGTAGTGGTGGGCTTTTCAGTGGTTGTGGACCCAGGAGTGCTTGGATTTTCTGTGATTGTGGTTGTTGTGGTGGGCTTTTCAGTGGTTGTGGACCCAGGAGTGCTGGGCTTCTCTGTTGGTACTGTGGTAGGTTTTTCTGTGATAGCGGTTGTTATGGTGGGCTTTTCTGTGGTTGTGGCACCAGGAGTGCTGGGCTTTTCTGTTGGTACTGTGGTAGGTTTTTCTGTGACCGTTGTTGTAGTGGTGGGCTTTTCAGTGGTTGTGGACCCAGGAGTGCTGGGCTTTTCTGTGATTGTGGTTGTTGTGGTGGGCTTTTCAGTGGTTGTGGACCCAGGAGTGCTGGGCTTTTCTGTTGGTACTGTTGTAGGATTTTCTGTGATAGCGGTTGTTGTGGTGGGCTTTTCTGTGGTTGTGGCACCAGGAGTGCTGGGCTTTCCTGTGGCTTTTGTAGTTGTTTCATTCATGACAGGTCCTGTTTTGTGTGTTGTTGTAACCACTGTATTTGTAACACCAGTTACAACTGGGATTTCTGTAGTGGCTTTTGTAGCTGTCACACTTGTGGCACCAGGAGTGCTGGGCTTTTCTGTTGCTACTGTGGTAGGTTTTTCTGTGATAGCAGTTGTTGTTGTGGTGGGCTTTTCTGTGGTTGTGGCACCAGGAGTGCTGGGCTTTTCTGTGATTGTGGTTGTTGTGGTGGGCTTTTCTGTGGTTGTGGCACCAGGAGTGCTGGGCTTTTCTGTGATCGTGGTGGTAGTGGACCCTCCTGTGGTTGGTTTTGTTGAGGGGATAATTGTGGTTGAAACCGTACAATGGTTAACGCAACATTTGACTCGTATTTCATAGTCATAACAAACAGGAGGTATACCTTGGTCTTTATTATGACAAGTCAGTCCAATGGCTGGATCACATGATACTTTTTGACCAAGGTCATTCAATGATACATCTTTGAGTTGTTTTGCTCTACATTCTATTTCCAAAGGTTTACTACAAACATTCATGTCTGGATCAGTGATTTTATCAATGGGTTCATACTCTCCACCATCTATGGTTGAGTCAGGGTAATGATTGCTCATCCAATCTGACCACTTACAAACAATGCAGTTAGCATGGGTTGTAGTGGATATTTCTGTGGTTGTGGCACCAGGAGTGCTGGGCTTTTCTGTTGGTACTGTGGTAGGTTTTTCTGTGATAGCGGTGGTTGTGGTGGGCTTTTCAGTGGTTGTGGCCCCAGGAGTGCTTGGCTTTTCTGTTGGTATTGTGGTGGGCTCTGCTGTGGTTGTGGCACTAGGAGTGCTGGGCTTTTCTGTTGGTACTGTTGTAGGTTTTTCTGTGATAGCGGTTGTTGTGGTGGGCTTTTCTGTGGTTGTGGCACCAGGAGTGCTGGGCTTTTCTGTTGGTACTGTAGTAGGTTTTTCTGTGATAGCAGTTGTTGTGGTGGGTTTTTCTGTGGTGGTGGCACTAGGAGTGCTGGGCTTCTCTGTGATTGTGATTGTTGTGATGGGCTTTTCTGTGGTTGTGGCACCAGGAGTGCTGGGCTTTTCTGTTGGTACTGTTGTTTGTTTTTCTGTGATAGCGGTTGTTGTGGTGGGCTTTTCTGTGGTTGTGGCACCAGAAGTGCTGGGCTTTTCTGTTGGTACTGTAGTAGGTTTTTCTGTGATAGCAGTTGTTGTGGTGGGTTTTTCTGTGGTGGTGGCACTAGGAGTGCTGGGCTTCTCTGTGATTGTGATTGTTGTGGTGGGCTTTTCTGTGGTTGTGGCACCAGGAGTGCTGGGCTTTTCTGTTGGTACTGTTGTAGGTTTTTCTGTGATAGCGGTTGTTGTGGTGGGCTTTTCTGTGGTTGTGGCACCAGGAGTGCTGGGCTTTTCTGTTGGTACTGTAGTAGGTTTTTCTGTGATAGCAGTTGTTGTGGTGGGTTTTTCTGTGGTGGTGGCACTAGGAGTGCTGGGCTTCTCTGTGATTGTGATTGTTGTGATGGGCTTTTCTGTGGTTGTGGCACCAGGAGTGCTGGGCTTTTCTGTTGGTACTGTTGTAGGTTTTTCTGTGATAGCGGTTGTTGTGGTGGGCTTTTCTGTGGTTGTGGCACCAGAAGTGCTGGGCTTTTCTGTTGGTACTGTAGTAGGTTTTTCTGTGATAGCAGTTGTTGTGGTGGGCTTTTCTGTGGTGGTGGCACTAGGAGTGCTTGGCTTCTCTGTGATTATAGTTGTTGTGGTGGGCTTTTCTGTGGTTGTGGCACCAGGAGTGCTGGGCTTTTCTGTTGGTACTGTAGTAGGTTTTTCTGTGATAGCAGTTGTTGTAGTGGGCTTTTCTGTGGTTGTGGCACCAGGAGTGCTGGGCTTTTCTGTGATCGTTGTGGTAGTGGACCCTCCTGTGGTTGGTTTTGTTGAGGGGATAATTGTGGTTGAAACCGCACAATGGTTAACACAACATTTGACTCGTATTTCATAGTCATAACAAACAGGAGGTATACCTTGGTCTTTATTATGACAAGTCAGTCCAACGGCTGGATCACATGTTACTTTTTGACCAAGGTCATTCAACGATACATCTTTGAGTAGTTTTGCTCTACATTCTATTTCCAAAGGTTTACTACAAACATTCATGTCTGGATCAGTAATTTTATCAATGGGTTCATACTCTCCACCATCTATGGTTGAGTCAGGGTAATGATTGCTCATCCAATCTGACCACTTACAAACAAAGCAGTTAGCATGTGTTGTAGTGGATATTTCTGGGGTTGTTGCACCAGTAGTGCTGGGAATTTCTGTGACCGTGGTTGAAGTGGTGGGCTTTTCTGTGGTTGTGGCACCAGGAGTGCTGGGGTTTTCTGTTGGTACTGTGGTAGGTTTTTCTGTGACCGTTGTTGTAGTGGTGGGCTTTTCAGTGGTTGTGGACCCAGGAGTGCTTGGATTTTCTGTTGGTACTGTGGTAGGTTTTTCTGTGATAGCGGTTGTAGTGCTGGGCTTTTCTGTGGTTGTGGCACCAGGAGTGCTGGGCTTTTCTGTTGGTACTGTGGTAGGTTTTTCTGTGATAGCAGTTGTTGTGGTGGGTTTTTCTGTGGTGGTGGCACCAGGAGTGCTGGGCTTTTCTGTGATTGTGGTTGTTGTGGTGGGCTTTTCTGTGGTTGTGGCACCAGGAGTGCTGGGCTTTTCTGTTGGTACTGTTGTAGGTTTTTCTGTGATTGTAGTTGTTGTGGTGGGCTTTTCTGTGGTTGTGGCACCAGAAGTGCTGGGCTTTTCTGTTGGTACTGTGGTAGGTTTTTCTGTGATAGCAGTTGTTGTGGTGGGTTTTTCTGTGGTGGTGGCACCAGGAGTGCTGGGCTTTTCTGTGATTGTGGTTGTTGTGATGGGCTTTTCTGTGGTTGTGGCACCAGGAGTGCTGGGCTTTTCTGTTGGTACTGTGGTAGGTTTTTCTGTGATAGCAGTTGTTGTGGTGGGTTTTTCTGTGGTGGTGGCACCAGGAGTGCTGGGCTTTTCTGTGATTGTGGTTGTTGTGGTGGGCTTTTCTGTGGTTGTGGCACCAGGAGTGCTGGGCTTTTCTGTGGTTGTGGCACCAGGAGTGCTGGGCTTTTCTGTTGGTACTGTGGTAGGTTTTTCTGTGATAGCAGTTGTTGTGGTGGGTTTTTCTGTGGTGGTGGCACTAGGAGTGCTGGGCTTCTCTGTGATTGTAGTTGTTGTGGTGGGCTTTTCTGTGGTTGTGGTACCAGGAGTGCTGGGCTTTTCTGTTGGTACTGTGGTAGGTTTTTCTGTGATAGCAGTTGTTGTGGTAGGTTTTTCTGTGGTGGTGGCACTAGGAGTGCTGGGCTTCTCTGTGATTGTAGTTGTTGTGGTGGGCTTTTCCGTGGTTGTGTCACCAGGAGTGCTGGGCTTTTCTGTTGGTACTGTAGTAGGTTTTTCTGTGATAGCAGTTGTTGTGGTGGGTTTTTCTGTGGTGGTGGCACTAGGAGTGCTGGGCTTCTCTGTGATTGTGGTTGTTGTGCTGGGCTTTTCTGTGGTTGTGGCACTAGGAGTGCTGGGCTTTTCTGTGATTGTGGTTGTAGTGGACCCTCCTGTGGTTGGTTTTGTTGAGGGGATAATTGTGGTTGAAACCGTACAATGGTTAACGCAACATTTGACTCGTATTTCATAGTCATAACAAACAGGAGGTATACCTTGGTCTTTATTATGACAAGTCAGTCCAACTTCTGGATCACATGTTACTTTTTGACCAAGGTCATTCAAAGATACATCTTTGAGTTGTTTTGCTCTACATTCTATTTCCAAAGGTTTACTACAAACATTCATGTCTGGATCAGTAATTTTATCAATGGGTTCATACTCTCCACCATCTATGGTTGAGTCAGGGTAATGATTGCTCATCCAATCTGACCACTTACAAACAAAGCAGTTAGCATGGGTTGTAGTGGATACTTCTGGGGTTGTTGCACCAGTAGTGCTGGGAATTTCTGTGACCGTGGTTGTAGTGGTGGGCTTTTCTGTGGTTGTGGCACTAGGAGTGCCGGGCTTTTCTGTGACTGTGGTTGTGGTGGTGGGCTTTTCAGTGGTGGTGACACCAGGAGTGCTGGGCTTTTCAGTGGTTGTGGACCCAGGAGTGCTCGGATTTTCTGTTGGTACTGTGGTAGGTTTTTCTGTGATAGCGGTTGTAGTGCTGGGCTTTTCTGTGGTTGTGGCACCAGGAGTGCTGGGCTTTTCAGTGGTTGTGGACCCAGGAGTGCTCGGATTTTCTGTTGGTACTGTGGTAGGCTTTTCTGTGATTGTGGTTGTTGTGGTGGGCTTTTCTTTGGTTGTGGCACCAGGAGTGCTGGGCTTTTCTGTTGGTACTGTGGTAGGTTTTTCTGTAATAGCGGTTGTTGTGGTGGGATTTTCTGTGTTGGTGGCACCAGGAGTGCTGGGCTTTTCTGTGATTGTGGTTGTTGTGGTGGGCTTTTCTGTGGTTGTGGCACCAGGAGTGCTGGGCTTTTCTGTGGTTGTGGCACCAGGAGTGCTGGGCTTTTCTGTGGTTGTGGCACCAGGAGTGCTGGGCTTTTCTGTTGGTACTGTGGTAGGTTTTTCTGTGATAGCAGTTGTTGTGGTGGGTTTTTCTGTGGTGGTGGCACCAGGAGTGCTGGGCTTTTCTGTGATTGTGGTTGTTGTGCTGGGCTTTTCTGTGGTTGTGGCACTAGGAGTGCTGGGCTTTTCTGTGATTATGGTTGTAGTGGACCCTCCTGTGGTTGGTTTTGTTGAGGGGATAATTGTGGTTGAAACCGTACAATGGTTAACGCAACATTTGACTCGTATTTCATAGTCATAACAAACAGGAGGTATACCTTGGTCTTTATTATGACAAGTCAGTCCAACTTCTGGATCACATGTTACTTTTTGACCAAGGTCATTCAAAGATACATCTTTGAGTTGTTTTGCTCTACATTCTATTTCCAAAGGTTTACTACAAACATTCATGTCTGGATCAGTAATTTTATCAATGGGTTCATACTCTCCACCATCTATGGTTGAGTCAGGGTAATGATTGCTCATCCAATCTGACCACTTACAAACAAAGCAGTTAGCATGGGTTGTAGTGGATACTTCTGGGGTTGTTGCACCAGTAGTGCTGGGAATTTCTGTGACCATGGTTGTAGTGGTGGGCTTTTCTGTGGTTGTGGCACTAGGAGTGCTGGGCTTTTCTGTGACTGTGGTTGTAGTGGTGGGCTTTTCAGTGGTGGTGACACCAGGAGTGCTGGGCTTTTCAGTGGTTGTGGGCCCAGGAGTGCTCGGATTTTCTGTTGGTACTGTGGTAGGTTTTTCTGTGATAGCGGTTGTAGTGCTGGGCTTTTCTGTGGTTGTGGCACCAGGAGTGCTGGGCTTTTCAGTGGTTGTGGACCCAGGAGTGCTCGGATTTTCTGTTGGTACTGTGGTAGGCTTTTCTGTGATTGTGGTTGTTTGGTGGATTTTTTGGTTGGGGGGTGGTGGGCTTTTCTGTGTGTGCTTTTAGTGGTGGGACACCAGGAGTGCTGGGCTTTTCTTTTTCTGTTTTTGGTACTGTGGTAGGTTTTTCTGTAATAGCGGTTGTTGTGGTGGGATTTTCTGTGGTTGTGGCACCAGGAGTGCTGGGCTTTCCTGTGGCTTTTGTAGTTGTTTCATTCATCACAGGTCCTGTTTCGTGTGTTGTTGTAACCACTGTATTTGTAACACCAGTTACAACTGGGATTTCTGTAGTGGCTTTTGTAGCTGTCACACTTGTGGCACCAGGAGTGCTGGGCTTTTCTGTTGGTACTGTGGTAGGTTTTTCTGTGATAGCGCTGGTTGTGGTGGCCTTTTCTGTGGTTGTGGCACCAGAAGTGCTGGGCTTTTCTGTTGGTACTGTGGTGGGTTTTTCTGTGATAGCAGTTGTTGTGGTGGGTTTTTCTGTGGTGGTGGCACCAGGAGTGCTGGGCTTTTCTGTGATTGTGGTTGTTGTGGTGGGCTTTTCTGTGGTTGTGGCACCAGGAGTGCTGGGCTTTTCTGTGGTTGTGGCACCAGGAGTGCTGGGCTTTTCTGTTGGTACTGTGGTAGGTTTTTCTGTGATAGCAGTTGTTGTGGTGGGTTTTTCTGTGGTGGTGGCACCAGGAGTGCTGGGCTTTTCTGTGATTGTGGTTGTTGTGCTGGGCTTTTCTGTGGTTGTGGCACTAGGAGTGCTGGGCTTTTCTGTGATTGTGGTTGTAGTGGACCCTCCTGTGGTTGGTTTTGTTGAGGGGATAATTGTGGTTGAAACCGTACAATGGTTAACGCAACATTTGACTCGTATTTCATAGTCAAAACAAACAGGAGGTATACCTTGGTCTTTATTATGACAAGTCAGTCCAACGGCTGGATCACATGTTACTTTTTGACCAAGGTCATTCAAAGATACATCTTTGAGTTGTTTTGCTCTACATTCTATTTCTAAAGGTTTACTACAAACATTCATGTCTGGATCAGTAATTTTATCAATGGGTTCATACTCTCCACCATCTATGGTTGAGTCAGGGTAATGATTGCTCATCCAATCTGACCACTTACAAACAAAGCAGTTAGCATGGGTTGTAGTGGATATTTCTGGGGTTGTTGCACCAGTAGTGCTGGGAATTTCTGTGACCGTGGTTGTAGTGGTGGGCTTTTCTGTGGTTGTGGCACCAGGAGTGCTGGGCTTTTCTGTTGGTACTGTGGTGGGCTTTTCTGTGGTTGTGGCACTAGGAGTGCTGGGCTTTTCTGTGACTGTGGTTGTAGTGGTGGGCTTTTCAGTGGTGGTGACACCAGGAGTGCTGGGCTTTTCAGTGGTTGTGGACCCAGGAGTGCTCGGATTTTCTGTTGGTACTGTGGTAGGTTTTTCTGTGATAGTGGTTGTAGTGCTGGGCTTTTCTGTGGTTGTGGCACCAGGAGTGCTGGGCTTTTCTGTTGGTACTGTGGTAGGTTTTTCTGTAATAGCGGTTGTTGTGGTGGGATTTTCTGTGGTTGTGGCACCAGGAGTGCTGGGCTTTCCTGTGGCTTTTGTAGTTGTTTCATTCATCACAGGCCCTGTTTCGTGTGTTGTTGTATCCACTGTATTTGTAACACCAGTTACAACTGGGATTTCTGTAGTGGCTTTTGTAGCTGTCACACTTGTGGCACCAGGAGTGCTGGGCTTTTCTGTTGGTACTGTGGTAGGTTTTTCTGTGATAGCGGTGGTTGTGGTGGGCTTTTCTGTGGTTGTGGCACCAGAAGTGCTGGGCTTTTCTGTTGGTACTGTGGTAGGTTTTTCTGTGATAGCAGTTGTTGTGGTGGGTTTTTCTGTGGTGGTGGCACTAGGAGTGCTGGGCTTCTCTGTGATTGTAGTTGTTGTGGTGGGCTTTTCTGTGGTTGTGGCACCAGGAGTGCTGGGCTTTTCTGTGATTGTGGTTGTAGTGGACCCTCCTGTGGTTGGTTTTGTTGAGGGGATAATTGTGGTTGAAACCGTACAATGGTTAACGCAACATTTGACTCGTATTTCATAGTCATAACAAACAGGAGGTATACCTTGGTCTTTATTATGACAAGTCAGTCCAATGGCTGGATCACATGATACTTTTTGACCAAGGTCATTCAATGATACATCTTTGAGTTGTTTTGCTCTACATTCTATTTCCAAAGGTTTACTACAAACATTCAGGTCTGGATCAGTAATTTTATCAATGGGTTCATACTCTCCACCATCTATGGTTGAGTCAGGGTAATGATTGCTCATCCAATCTGACCACTTACAAACAATGCAGTTAGCATGTGTTGTAGTGGATATTTCTGGGGTTGAGGCACCAGGAGTGCTGGGCTTTTCTGTTGGTACTGTGGTAGGTTTTTCTGTGATAGCGGTGGTTGTGATGGGCTTTTCAGTGGTTGTGGCCCCAGGAGTGCTTGGCTTTTCTGTTGGTATTGTGGTGGGCTCTGCTGTGGTTGTGGCACTAGGAGTGCTGGGCTTTTCTGTTGGTACTGTGGTAGGTTTTTCTGTGATAGCGGTGGTTGTGGTGGGCTTTTCTGTGGTCGTGGCACCAGGAGTGCTGGGCTTTTCTGTGATTGTGGTTGTTGTGGTGGGCTTTTCTGTGGTGGTGGCACTAGGAGTGCTGGGCTTTTCTGTGATTGTGGTTGTAGTGGACCCTCCTGTGGTTGGTTTTGTTGAGGGGATAATTGTGGTTGAAACCGTACAATGGTTAACGCAACATTTTACTCGTATTTCATAGTCAAAACAAACAGGAGGTATACCTTGGTCTTTGTTATGACAAGTCAGTCCAACTTCTGGATCACATGTTACTTTTTGACCAAGGTCATTCAAAGATACATCTTTGAGTTGTTTTGCTCTACATTCTATTTCCAAAGGTTTACTACAAACATTCATGTCTGGATCAGTAATTTTATCAATGGGTTCATACTCTCCACCATCTATGGTTGAGTCAGGGTAATGATTGCTCATCCAATCTGACCACTTACAAACAAAGCAGTTTGCATGGGTTGTAGTGGATATTTCTGGGGTTGTTGCACCAGTAGTGCTGGGAATTTCTGTGACCGTGGTTGTAGTGGTGGGCTTTTCAGTGGTTGTGGCCCCAGACGTGCTGGGGTTTTCTGTTGGTACTGTGGTAGGTTTTTCTGTGATTGTGGTTGTAACAGCAGTTGTTATGGGATTTTGTGTGGTTGTTGTCTTTGCCTGTTCTGTTGTTGTAGGTTCTTTGGTGACTGTGGTTGTTGTGGGTCCTTTTGTGATTGTCAAAAAAGAAAAAAAGGCTAAGTCATCAAGTTGTCTTTAAAATGGTACAAATCCACACCTTCCACACCTATGCTGTGAATTTTTAAAGACTCCTATTCTTACCACTTGTGTCAAAATGAAAGACTGTTGTCGTTGGTGTCTGGGTGGGTGCAGTTGTAGAGCAAGCATCTATGGTCCTGGAAATATTTCCATCTTCTCCACAAACAGCAGTCATACAGGTTCCATCTCCATCATGTGTGTCATAGATTTTATCTCCATACTTGTATGTAAGTCCTTTATATGAACAAGTGCAAGCTGCAAAATAAATAATTACATAAGAATTAAGAATTTATTGTACCAATAGAAATAATTTGTATAGGGCTGCCCCCAAAAAGTCGAAGATTCAAGTCATCAGTCTAGATCAGTCAATGTTTGACTCTTCCGGTGACAGGGCTGTTTGAAGTCTGGCAGATGAGACACTCAGTGGTGTGCTCAGATTTTATAATTGAACTATGATTGTATGGAACCTTTTTTACATCACAAATACAGAGAAATTCTTTAACATTTGAGGCAGTCTTAAACATGAGATTCATGTAGCTGCATTTAGGAGTAGGAACACCTGACACAGGAGTTTAATGCTGAACTAAAAAAAAAAAAAAAGAATAGTCAGATATTTGTATTGAGCAGCCAAACCCAATTCAAATGACACAATTCTGAGTTGGGCATAGCCTTCAATCTTTATGGTAAATGGACCTGTACTTGTATAGCGCCTTTCTAGTCTTCCGACCACTCAAAGCGCTTTTACACTATGTGCCACATTCACTCTTTCACACACATTCACTCAGCAATGGCAAAGTCCATTGAACAGAAACTAATGAATTCATACACACACACCAATGCACAGCAATTCAGGGTTCAGTATCTTGCTCAAGGATACTTCGACATGTGGCAGAAGGAGCCAGGGATCGAACCAACAACCTTCCAATTAGAGGACAACCCGCTCTTCCTCTGAGCCACAGCCTATGATGATACAATATTATCTGTTTACTTAGTGACAACAAATGAACACAGTAATAGTCATAACCACACTCACCTTGGACATTATAGATGCACTCAACTTTTGTTGAAGAACAATTACTAAAAGGTAAATGAAAGAAGAAAGAAGGTTAAACACAATGTATGAACATATATGCACACGGTGCAGAACTCCAGGGGTGCGCAGAGGTAATTTTCTTCACTGTGCTGCTATGTGCTGTGTACTCCAATGGGAGCAGAGGTGCAGTGATGTAAATCCAGTAGCAAACTGCAATTTTGGTGCAATGAATGAGCTCCGCTGCCCATCTGCTAAGGTTGACAGCACAGCTTTTATTCCATAATATTTTGGTCACACCCATAAACACTAAAAGCAATATATTGATAGTCTTTTAACTGTACACTAGTGACTGAAGGCAGTCAGTAACTTTTCCACAAGCACCACAGAAACCTCTGTGCTTATGGGAACATCAACATTATCCTAATTAATTATTCAGCACATTTTCTACTGCAGTGGACATCAACAGGCCTGTTGGATGCATGAAAACAGTTCACACCATTCCATGAAAAATCATAGATCAATAAAAAACTTGACAAACTGTTATCCGTGATATGCTGCATGATTCACAGAATTAGAGCCCCTGTGTCATTTATTATTTTCACAATTACCTTTATTTTCTATATTAATATATATATATATATATTCTGCATAAGGATAGCTAATTCTGCAATAAAATGGTTTTCATTTTATATTATAGTTAAAGAACATGATTGTATGATATTAGAATACATTATTTCATTATATCACCTTTGTAAAAACATTTTAAAGGTGACCACTAACTTACTAACACCAACTGAAACATCAAGATTATGTAAGTGTCCTACCAAGTGTGACAGTTTTTCTTTGGAGGTATGACCTCCCCTTCTGTGTAATGCTTCCCTTCGTCATCATAGCAACCGCATTCCTCTTTTGACACACACTTCATGGTAGCTTCTTCCAAATAAGATTGTTCAGGTGGACATCTTGGATAGCAGCCTTACAAACAAAAAGTCATTAACACGACAGCACAACTGTGCTTAACCAATAGACTTTGGTACAAAAAAAGTATGCATGGTCAATCAACTCTCCCTAAATAATTCTAACCCTAAAGATATATATTCTACTTTTATGTCATTTGTACCTTCTAATGCTGGAATGTTATTGTAGCATATCCCTGAGGGATTCCTGCATGTCTTCATGCATGGTTTTCCACAGGACTCATAGTGCCATTCACACTCTCCATCAGGGTTGTAATAATCACAGAACAGAGCTGATGAGACAAAAGAAAGGAATATTAACAGGATACAAGAAAAGATAAAATTGGTACATGTATAATTAAATGACAAAGGTGGTGTTGCTGACAGATGATAATTATGAACATGCATTGGATTTTTGTTTATTTCCTTTCATAAACACTCACGGCAGATTGTGGGAGTTCTCCATTTCACACAGGCTCCAGCCTTGTTACAGGCTGCTGCGTAGGCAGCTACAGCCGAGCAGAAACACTCACAATCTCCTCCTGTATTGCAAGCACATGTGTCTTCCACACAGGCATCATGATAATTTTTTGGATCCACCTTTTTGAGGAAGAAGAAGCTGAATTATATTCTGCTAGCTACTTATATAGAAAGTTATTGTGTAGCCATTGTTCAGCAGTTTCCTTACCTTTGAATGGCAACTTGCAAATACTTCACTGTTGATAATGCTGCAGTGTTTTAATGCCCATGCCTGCCTGTGTGAGTACATACTGCAGGGATTTTTTAGTGCGTTTGCATTAGGGCAGGTGTGTGACACTTTCCAGCTGTTTCCAAACTCAAGGGCTTCAACCACAACTTCTTTGTTTCTGGTGGTGAAATCGTTCTTGATATTCCCATCATAATTCCCACACAGGCCGCAGACTTTTCCCTGGAATAAAATTAGATCTAATTAATTTGTAAAAAGGCAACCAACCGTATTAACATTTACTTGAATACCCATGTATCTGCTCACCCACCTTGAATGTGGAGCTGAGTTTGATCATGAGTGTTGTCTTCTTATTCCAAATGAGAACAAGACCATTCTTTGCCTCAATTACCAGATATATACCCATAGTGTGGACCTGATAGGGTATTTCCTCCCCTTTGCTTTGTTTGATAACTCTGATATTTTCCTCAGAAAGAATAATTTCATTGTTCTGAAAGAAACAAAACATGCTCATGTAAAAGTTAAGTTCAGCATTTTAAAAAATATTTTAAATCCATGTAATAGTGTTATTTACCCCCAAGTACAGCTTGATAGCAGTGGAGCAGATGCTCTCAGTTGTCCCACATGGGATGCTCTCCGTCAGGACCCTGAAGGTGCCATTCATATCGTCCCCACAGTAATCCTGCAAGATATTGATGTCAGTATCACAAGACTGAAGTTTTTGACAAATCACAAAAATTAAACATAGGTTTGTGCTATACCTGAGTGAAGACGTAGCCACAGTCGCCATGAAAGGAGAATCTCTTTTCATCAAAAGTGATGTAGTGCCCTTCTCCATATATGGTACAGGTTCCATCACAATCATTATCTGTACATTCCCATTTTCTGCTTTTGCAAGTGCTATGATTTAAATAGATGAAGTAATATCAAGTTATATATCTCTAATTTAAATAGGGAACTGACACAGCACTACATTGGAAAAGATTAAAGGGCTCACCAGTTATTGCAGTCCACAGTGATTGTCTGTCCAGAATTATAGTATTCTCCACCATATGGGCAGGGACAGTCCTCCTCCTTTATACAGCCTCCTTTACCATCTGACAGCAGGCCATCGGGACATACACAGCCTGAGATACACTGTGTACTAACCTATACAGTGTAACAGCAAGTTATTCAACATGTCATCCTGTTACTTTAGTAAAGTGTAAAATATCCATCAGCAGTCATGAACCAGTCTCTCAATCTTACGCATTTGTTGTCCAGTGTCTGGCAGCTCCTTTGGCACTCTGATCCCTTCACACCTGGCTTTGCACTTGAGCAGTTGAAGAAAACCATTGGATCGGTGCAGGCTGATGACAATGATAATGTTACAAAGGTGTTGCTCATACCGTACCTTTCTATAGAAGGAATACTATGACGTTATACCTACATTCACTTATGTGGCTTCCTGTACAGCTTAATTTTCCACTGTGGCAGGAGCTGAAAGGCACATAAAAAGGGCAATAAGAAATAAGAAAGAGAAATGTATTTTTTTTGTTAATTCTTGAAAGTGTCTGCCCAATTTATTTTACAAAAACTAAGATAGTAGTTCTCAACTAGTCTAGCCTTTAGACGTTGTCTCATTGTCTACACACAGAGGCTAAATTAACAGTAATTACATTTTGTGTCCATCGGTCTTTTCTCTGAATGGAGAGGATTGCAGGGAGCTAGAGACTATTTTAGGTGATAATGAGAAAAAAACAGTGTACCTGACAGGAAGTTTAGTTTTTCCAAGTCACTGCACACTGTTATTGGGCTTGGAGATTACACCAAAGCCTCAACAGGAAACCCACGCAAACAAGAATTCAAACCTACGGCCTTCTTGCTGCCCACTGAACCACTGTGCCAAAAATAAACCAAGTGCGGTTGAAGTTGAGGTTAAAACCTAATTACATAAGAAGCATTGCAACAAGAAGGGCAATTATGGTTTAAAAACCAACAACATTAAAACCACTTCATCAGCAATAACAACAAATGTAGCCATTCAAAACAGTTTTGACAGCAAAATGTGTCAATAGGCCTAATAATAAGAAAAGATCTTAACATATTCCTTGTCATACCTCTGTTGAGCAGTTAAGTTGTAGAGCACACTGCACTTGGCAGTGGAAATTTTCAAGGGACCACGACCATGTGCAAAGCAAACACTGATACAGTCTTGGTTTAGTAATGCCACATGCCTTAACACTGCTACTCACTCTCCAGTAAGAACACATAAATAAAACACTGTGACAGATATATACAACATTACATACAGTTGACTCACAATTTGCTCCAGTGACATTTAACTCATAACCTTGGACACAATAATCTAGAATAATCTTAATCTTAAAAATAAATGCTCTAGGTGTGAAGTTGCATTCCCCTTCTCTCTTTCCTGTCATTTCCTGCGACCTCTTACTGTCAGTAACGAAGCATAAAATGCCCATAAAGATTGCTCTGCTTTCTTTTATTGGAAATATTAAAATGCTTACCAAGTTCGTCCGTGGAGCTTGATGAATTGCCCATTGTGTACTACTGCGTCTCCAATGTAACAAGGACATTGTGTAGCTGACACACACACATCAATCTCATTTAGGTAAGTTCCTTCAGCACACCCGCAGCCATCAAGTGGGGTAAATTCAACGTCACATGTTGAGTCTGACTGACTAAGGGAGCGACAGGTGCGTCCACAAGTCGTCATTTGGTAGCCATACACAAAAGTAGAAGGACAGCCAGTCGTGTATTTCTCTTTTGAAAGGAAACAGGTCCAATCAATGTTTAAATATTAAGAACATATATTGGCTTCATTTATTTCACATTTGATAGTGTGGGTTTAACTTACGGCATACAGTGTCCCTCCATCCATTCAGGTAGACACCTTCAGCGGCACATGCATGGACATAGGAAGATAAGGCAGCACACATGCACTCCTCACTGTCTTCACAGGCACAAGTGTCATAAATACAAGACTGTGGAGAGAAACACCAAGAAGCTAAATGTATAATTTTAATGAGCAGCTGTAAAGTAAAATAACACAAATACATAAATATATACACACACACACACACACACACACACACACACACACACACACACACACACACACACACACACGTTAAGACTGCAAACAAAAATAAATCACTGCTTACAGCTTGATAGACTGCTGGGTTTAATTCAGAATGGCAATTTGAGAAAATCCCTTCTGGGTCGGACAGCAAGGAGCACCAGTGTTTGGCATATTTCTCTACAAAAACAAAGAAGCATCTTCACTGGCATTGTCTTGTGAAGAATCATATTAAAATACGGTGCATTGATGTCTCTGACCTACCGTTGTCCACACTCAAAATGCAAGGGTCCTTAAGTACGTTTGTCACATCGAGGCAGCTTGTTTTGGTTTTCCATGTGTTGCCAAATGCCACAGCCGTTCCCTCAATCAGTCCATTTGTGGTTCTGAAGTCATCAGCTTCTACATCATTAAAATCTCCACAAAGGCCTGGATGAAGATAATGACTTTGATTTAACACTTATTAAAATACTCACCACACTATTCATCATATATGTTACACTAGAATCACAAGTGTTCAAGAAGTAAAGCACACCGTTGAGTTTTCCTTTATTGGAAACACTGGCTTTGATGTAGACCTGCATGATGGGTGTGAGCTGAATCTCAAGAGAAAGCCCATAGGTGGTGTGGATAACAATGAAGAATGTTGATGGGCTGAAGACTGTTGCGTCATCTGCAGGAAAAAATGTAATAAAGAGATGGTTTTAATTTTAGAATAATTAATATATCTTATAATTTCATAGGAGAATGTACACCAAAAAGAACCAACCACTCACCCACGAAAAGAGGCAGTGTAGAGATCTGTTTGTTATACAAAACCTGTCCGTTGGCTTGAACTACAATCATCTGCAGTGGGAAAAAATTCAATATGACTGTTAAAAATGAACAATCTCAGTGTTTCCAACAGGTATGACATGGAGAAGATCCAATAAATAGGTTTCACTTTATCATAATAAACTGTAATTTTACCATTTCTTTAGACAGGAGTAGAGTGACTGCAGTCAGGCAGGTTGATTTATCTGATTTTTCACATTTGACCAGATCACCAAGTACACTGAAAGTCCCATTTGTTTCCTGAAGTCAAATGAACACAATTACAAACTGTTTGCTTATTAACAAGTTTTGTAATTTTGTTTAAAAGGATGAATTAAGTTTTCACCTCGGAGAGAACATAAGAGCAGTCTCCATGGAAAGTGTATGTTTTATCATCATAGGTGGAGATATGGGAGCCTCCCAATATGGAACAGACACCATGACAGTTCATATCATTACAGCTCCACTGACCCTGGGTACAAGTGCTGTGAACAGAGTTCAGTCACCTTAACTGGACAAACCACCTTAAATACACATGTTGTAAGTATTAAATTAAATATAATGATGTGATTACCAGTTTTTACATGGGCCTGAATATGACTCCCCTGGTTTGTATGGCTTGCCATTGTGTAAGCAGGAGCACTGATCAACAGCAACACACCCACTTTGGTTAATGTCGTCAAACACAGTCCCTTAGGAGATACATAATGACAAGATTAGTCATAGGGCAACAGTAAACCCTTATACACACTGCAAACCCTGTAAAAGCCATACATGTATGTGTGGGTATTGCAAAACATTTTTTACCACTTATTTTAGCACCAGAGTGTGTAGAGCCTAGCAGGTGTTATGAGGAGAAAAAAACTAAATTGCTTTTGAATTGCTTCATTAATGTGAATGAATTAACAAAACATAAACAATATATATTGGCTTTTATTGCCTTTATGAAAGAGACAGCTGAAGATAGACAGGAAAGGGGGACAGAGAGAGGGGATGGCACGCAGCAAAGGGCCGCAGGTTGGGTTCGAACCCTGGGCCGCTGCAGCAAAGACTCAGCCTCGGTACGTGGGTCGCTCTACCCACTGAGCTAACCAGGCGCCCTAAACAAATTTTTTTGGGTGAATTTAGAATTATTATTATTATATTATTATTAAGGAATGTCAAAGAAAACATCAATGTGATCAGGAAAAATCTATCTACATATCTCCAATCAATACAAAACTTTAACCCTTGAATCCAAATTTTGATTTTGACCATGGTCTGACAACTTTCCCTGTTAATTCAAAGTACATTAGGCTACACTGTTGTATCGTGAATCTAAGCAGCCAAAGTTAAGCCCTATGTTGCAGCACAACAGTACAAAGAAAAATGCTGAGAGGTGAAGGACAAATGTAATGTGATCACCTCACTACATTAACATTAACAAGTAATTACTTCAGCATTTATAGGCAACTAAATACCAAAACATAATAACATAAAATCAAGTTCTGTTACAACTTGACAGTAATTCAGAAGCATGAATGAAGTCATTTAAGAGCATAAATTACTAATTTGTGTGAATGAAACAAAACATCTGCTTGATTCTGTACAAAATCTGTAAACTTACCAGGTGGACAGAAGCATCCATCTATGCAGTGATCATCACACACGTCGCTTCTCTGGGGGTCACTGCAAGTGTCAGTACAGGGGCTACCGCATTCATAGTACTCCATGTTGAAAGGGCATGTTTTTGCTGTTCAACACACACCAAAATGTATAATTTAGAAACAGTGATTCTGTTATAAAGGATTATATAAGAATAATAAATACAGTGAAATCATGCAAATGCTGTGATTGCTGTTCTTACCACACAGTTGTGCGGTCTTCCATTGTTGTGGTTTCCCGCCTGCATGAGCACACTGACGGGAGTACTCTGATATGGTGGAACACAAGCATGAAGTGCTACTGTTACAGTAGCACAGGTCTTTCATGCAGGCTTTGATAAAGGAGTCAGTATCAATCAGTTCCTGACAGCTGAGGAATGCAGGTCCTGACAGCAGGTTCTCACAGAGGTCCGTCTGTGGGTCAAAGTATACAATGTACTGAAACTGTACCTAAATGTTATATATACAATTATTTGAAGCAAATCCATTTTCACATACCTGATTTGTACAGGTCTGTGTGGCTGTAGAGGAGACTTCTTCACAGTTTTCAGTAGGACCATTGACTTTCCAGACATCCCCATAATATTCAGGAGTTAAAGACTCCCCTGTTTCTAGAGGAAAAAATAGGTTTTAGAAAATGTGAAGACTGATTTTGTGCAGTTTTTTTTAGCTTTATTATTTAGTATTTACCTCTGTTGATGAACTCATCATAAGTTCGGACTCCGTTGAAGTCACCACACAGGCCACAAGTCTGATTCTCAAATTTTGCATCCAGCTCAACCTTAAAAGCAATTGAAAATAAGAACAAGTCTGAACTACTGGCACCATTTTAATGTATTAGTTTGATAATGCCTTTCTTTTTCAGCCATATCAGATAAGAATGTAAAGTGTGAACAGCCACATGATCATGAGTAAGTCGATTCTTTTGACAACCACTGTTTCAAAAACATTTACTGTTATGCTTAAATTTATTTAACATTCATACAACATTTTTACCTACCTGGTACAACTAACTTTGGTAGTGTTTGGTCTTACTTTTTATACCTTTTCATAAACACAGCGTGTCAAGTTTAGTTCAGTCACCAACAGCAGAAATTATGTGTTGATCAAGACACACTTTCTTCCATTTGATTAATCTTAACTAATCTTAATCTCAGTGTCAGTGAATCACTTCCCTAAGCTATCAAATAGCAGTCCAACTAAATATAGTGTATACATTAAGAGCTGAGTGTCTGTCCTTATCTGTAAGTTACCATAATTAAGATAAAAATCAATCTCAGGTATTATTTATACATCAGTGCAATCAAGTATGATGACACAATGAATACACATACCCAGAGGGAGTCTTCTTCGTTCCACATGATGACCAAACCCAGCTTTGCCTCGATTTTGACATAGGAGACAGTTCTTACAATTGTAATGCCAACCTGGCTGAAGGGTATAGTGACACTAGAGGGGACAAAAAAAAAAAAAAAAACCCATCCCATTAAAATAATAAGTCTCAAGTAAAATAAAAATAATAAAAGTCACATAATCCAAACAGACTCACGGTTTCTCATCGACTTTGATGGAAGCGTTGGACAGTTCCACAACGACCCCATCCAGTTTCATAGTGACCTGCTTAATGGTGTTGATCCCATTTATCTCCTGCCGCTGGAGCTGAATATTGAAAGTCTCATAGCTTCCCTTACAGTGCGAAGCAAGGATGTAGTTGCAAGTGTAGGGAAGCTGGAAGAAATCTCCATCGAAAGTCTGAAAATGATAGTTTCCCCAGGTACTACAGTACTGGTTGTTGTGAGAGGGGCTCACTGTGGTTTGTGGAGGAAAAAAAAAACATTAATCACACTGTTATAAAAATAGTACATTATGTTTTTTATCTTTCATCTCTGAAAAAAACGAATTACCTGTTATGACTGGCATTTTGGTCACCATCTGAATCATGACTTAAAGAAGACAAACATTTATACAGTCAGTGCAAAGCAAAACAAAGCTGTTCATATTTGTATTATCCAATATGAACAAGAAAACAGAAACACTTCAAGGTAATTTTATAAATTTTTCTTCCCAGGATAGGGTCCTTAATACTTAATAGACAGTGTAAAACAATAAAGTCTTTGTGTCCCATTGAATGTACATACCAGTGGTCTCAACAGAGAGTCCAATGCAGAGGGTGAACCATTGTATCACCCATTTAAGTGGCATCCTGTCAGTTCTCATGATCATTGAGTACTCTCTGTCCTGAGAAGGATGGTTAAGCCAACTGGTTCCCCACCATCAATGTCATGTAATATAGTTCATTGGGTGTTTGCAGTTTAGGAGGGGTAAAAGATAAATTTTGGGTGTCAACCATTGTGGTTTTTGTCTCCATTATGATCACACCCATTAAGAAGCTTGTGACAACACTTCTCTCTCACTCACATATCTCCATCTCTCTGCGTCATGAGGCATCCTATCAACCACTCTCAGGCTACATGCCTTGGCTCTATATATGTTAATCTTTGGTAAATATGAACATATATCCTATAAGTAAGAGAAATATTTTAAATACCATACAGTTGCAGATGATGAATCATTGCACAACAGGCTTTAATTAAGGAACAGTTTTTATTCAGGTCCTGGTTTTCATGAGAGGAAGATGAGTGTGTATGTACACTTAAACAATAATTGTGTACTTTTCTCACTGAACCAGAACAATTTAAGCTGTGGGCTGTGCCTCCATGTCTACTAAGATTATGAATAAATGGGTTGAAGTGAAACCTTCAGGTAAATCCATAAATTACTGGACCGTACATGGACCAAACATTTGCCAAAGACTTGAAATGTTTACTGACAGTCTAGCATGTCTCCTTTCCGGTAGCTTTGTTCACGTGCACTGAGCGTTAACATTTTCTAATACACAAGATCTAATGTAACCATCTGTTGTGCTTTTAGATTTAGGTACTTGCCTTTAGATAGAGTGAAAAAAGTGTCGTCATTGAGACCAATATCATTTTTGAAGTACACTTTCCATTCAGATTTTTAGCTATGCAAGAGTCATAGCAACAACTACTACATATTCAAGGTCTCCAGAGGATGTATAAACAGAATTTGATGATCTTCTAGTGGTATCCACAGGTCAAAGTGGTCACCTACTCAGTTAAATATATAGAGGTGGAAAGTAATGACATAAAAACCGAGAGGGAGACTCGACCCTATTTTAAGGTTCAGTAGGCTTTGCATAGAAACAGCTGATAGAAATCCTTCAGAGAAACCAAGAGAGTCCTTTTACATTTTTATTTTAGTAAAGAAACTCAATCAGTACTTCTTTACACAAGTATCTGCACTTTTCTTGAGTAAACAAGGTTTATACTTTTGCCACCTCTGGAAAAATGGCACAAAGGTTACATGTTTCCCAAATCATGAATGCTAATGACTTTGGTGACGATTCCTTTATACCATTATTCCTGCTACACATCAGCGTGTTAACACTGTGAACATGTTGACATTAGCAGTACAACCTAACAGAGAATGGCTGTAGACTCTGTAGTTTTACTGCCACTAACATGCCCAAATTGATTATTGGTCTAGTTTGAACTATTTTCAAGTGTTTAACTCCCTCAGTTTGAGACATGGTGTTTTATTAGCTGTGACATGCAAGGCTCTCAAACAAATATGGCAAATATAATTATTAACTGTTGTGTTGTGTTGATAAGCCACTCCACAAAAACTAGGCCTAAACGAGACAAAGAAATGCCCCCTAATACTAGATCCTTAACTCTACAACGTTTATATAGACATTTATACTAGTAGGTTTACATGGTACTAAACCTACTAGTGCTGTCTACAAATAATACAAAAATGAATGTATCTAAGTAAGGAGGAAGTACTTTGCATTTGCATTTCACTCGCCAAGGAAGTAGTGAGAGATAAGCTATTACAGTCAAGTGCAAAGGTAATTCTTCCTTGTTTTGTGGATAACATCTAACAAATGTGTACACAGGTGACAGTTGGAAATCCCCAAATTGAGTTGAGTACATACTGTATTAACAATGTAAATAAAAGTCAAATAGTGACGTAATTGCCAGCGTTACTGTTCTATTTCTTTTATTTCCACCAACAGGATCACAGGCGCCAGAGACAAAGATTATGCTCAAACTCCGGAGCGACACGCACAATACCTCTCACCCCCTTCGTGCTTCAGTCCGAACACAGGAGCATCTTCAGAAATAGACTGATACAATCAAGGTGAAGACTGAAGACCACACGAGATCCTTACTACCTATTTTTTATTTATCTTCTATCTTGTTATTACATCTATAGGGGAAATCACACCTTAATACAGTTCACACTTTGGTCATGGCTTGTAATTTATACACACTGGTACCCATCACTTTCATTGAGGCACTGCACCATCATTTGTACTTTGCATTTCACTAAAAGTAAAAAAAAGTAAAAAAGGTTTTCTACTTTTAATGTTAGTATGAGAGAGTAAACTGTATATACATTTATTATACACTGATCAGCCATTACATTGCATCTGGTTATCATTGCACCTGTCTGTGGGTCTGATATATGAGGCAGTAAGTGAACATTTAGTCTTGAAGTTAATGACAAGGGCCAAATTGTGATGACTAGACGATTGGGTCATAGCATTTCCAAAACTGCAGCTCTTTTGGGGTGTTCCTGGTCTGCAGTGGTCAGTACCTATCAAAAGTGGTCCAAGGAAGGAAAAGAGGTTAACCAGCAACAGGGTCATGGATTGGACCACACAACGAGCATCAATGAGCCTTGGCTGCCCAAAAGACGCTAAAAAAGTTAACGCTGGTTCTGATAAAAAGGTGCCACCAGGGGTGGTCATAATGTCATAATGTTATGGCTGTTCGGTGTATTTTACTACGTATACTTGGAATTATTCACACAAAAAGAACTATCAATAATAAACAATAACAGTAAATGCCTAAACGGTACAATACATAGATAGAGTTGGATCTTTTTATTTGAACTGATAAATACTCTCTCTACAATGGTAATTAGTTTGTTAGAGATGTAATGATTGTTAAGACAATATGGGAAGAAACATTTACATCCCACATTAATGTTACACATTTGTTTGTATGTGTTGTTGTTGTATATTGAATTTTGTCCTAGGGAAGAAAATGTACAACATTTCAAACTACCTTCGAAAGGGATAATGAATTTAGCTTTATTTTACAAAGAAATATTTTGTATAACATCAATATTTGTTTAGTCAATCCAAATTAATTTACTGAGGGTGACACTTAGAGGTTGGCAGTTGCTCTGCTGGAATAGCAGACAGACGATGTGTGACATTATGTCAATGAAGGTGTGACCGCTCTAACACAGGTGTCATGTTCACACTTACTCTCAGGCAGTGACCAGGTTTGTCCTTGCTGGATAGTGAAATGGATGTACAGACACACACAACACTGAGATACTTTCGTCTAATAAACACCAACGTGTGGAGTCACGACTCGCCAACAGAGACGATCCAACTTACCGTCAAGAGCTTTTTGGTACCATTAATACTGAAGACACAATGTACACACTTCACACAGCATTCATCTGAATCAGTTTCCACATGTTGATATCCCTGAGAGAAAGGGGAGAGTTAAGTGCCATTTTATAAATTATTTAAAAAATATATAGTGTGTATGGAAATACTGTGATCTTGCTCACCTTTTTGCAGTTTTTTTCACATTGCTGAAACTCCGGGGTCCAACTCAGGTCCACCTCTTGGTACAGGTGCAAGTCTCAACTAAATTCCCAGGTACTGAAGAACCAGGTTAACAAATGCAAAGAGGATGTGTTTATGTTCGTGTTACATAAAATGTAGAAGAGTAACGCACACCAAGGGTTGTTGTGAGGTGCTGATCACTGAAAGCAGACTTAAGAGTAGAAAGAAAGTGTTACACACTCTGTCTCCATTTGCACTTTCTTCATTCGCACATAACTACAATATTTGAAAAATAAAAAAATGACTAAGTCATTTATGTCTTATTACAGCGAGAGGCATTTCCAAGCCTATACCTCTAAAACATTATGTAACAGTGTGGTAAAAAGTCTGACTAAAGGCTTGCGAATAACAATTATTACAGATAGTGTGGGGCCCTCACATTATAAGCGCTGAGGGGTCTGGAAGGACTTAATGGTTAGCTCATGCTACAAGCATGCAATAAAACTAAACAAAAGTGGACACAAAGGACCAGGACACTATCAGGCAGATGTCCTCCACCAACATGCCCCTGTACAGGGTGGCTAATGAAGCAATACTCCTGGGTGACGGCTCGTTCATATAGGCCGCCCGAGCAGTGTGTGGTGTTTACTGCCGCTGCTGCCAGCCTATGTTTCCACATACTTTTTCTTGTATAATGTCCATGAAATATTACAGTGCCATATATATGTAGTTTAAATGTAAAAGTGAAGATTGTTAACCAGGAAGCAGTTACGTGTAGTTTGTTTACCCAAGACAGAGGGAGAGCATGAGAACACGAGAGAGAGCGCCGTGGAAAGATACTGCCCTTCAACCAGTTCACTTCCAGAAATTCTTTTACAAGTGAAGTTGTGTTACATAAACGTTTACTACAGGGCTTTTACTTTGTAAGGGAAGTTTAAACTGTACTGAAGTATGTGGATATGACTACCAACAGATCCTTTTCACTATACTCTTTTGGTGGGAGACGTGCGGCTCACAGAAACAAATAGGCCTTGACTCTCGAGTGAAGAGTTGCTGAAGCAGTGTGACTGCTTTAATCTGTTAACATGGGTGGCGAGATAAAAATCAAGACATTCCTTCACGCACACAGATGCGGGCTGCGTGAACCACGGGTTAGAGCGCCCTGAGCCCCGCCGGTAGGGTACAACCAATTGCAAAAACTACTGGCTAACTGAAACCCACCTATACTTCTTGTAAATTATATAACTTAGCACACAAGTTGAAAGAACAACCTTGATTACTGCACTTCTCATTTGTTTCAGTTCATCAGTTCAATTATTTTTCAGCTAAGGTCTGAACCAGACCATCTGTTTGATCCAAATCTGCATTGAACCTGGAATAAACCATATCCTTTGTTGGCAATTTAAGCTGATTTAAGAGAGATATGGCCCAAATTGTCAGTAAAATGAAAGTAAAACAAAGGGTAATGTAATGTTTGGATCTGGCACACCAGCTTAAACCCTGTGTCCACTACAGCCAGATCATAGGCTTCTAGATATGGCCCAAAGATCTGTTTATAGATAAATTGACCACTTTTAAATGGATAAAAAAAAAATCTAATGAAAATTTCTTGAAAGCATAAGCCACACTGTCTTATATGGTCATGTACTGTAACAAGTATTTATTTGCCACAAGTGACGTCAGCTGCTTGAAAAAGAACTAATACAATGTTAGTTTTGTTGATAAAGCATGTCAAAGAAGTTTGCTTTTGTGTGTTGTAACAGGTCATGCAGTGTTGTCTTTGCACACTTCCATGAAAACATAAAGCTTTGCGCTGACACATAGCAAACAGAAAGGCATGCCTTGACTCTGTAAATATCTGTAAAACACAGTAGCCTGAACCTAATAATAACCAGGGCTGCACAATATGGTAAAAACATCATATTGCGAATATTTTGACAGATATTGGGATTGCGATGTGATTCACAATTAGTCTGGGAATGATCATCTTTGCATCACAAACTGAAAAAAATAAAATGCATTTAAACACATTGGAGAAGCTAAGACTGGATGCCATGTCTGTGCATCATTTTTTAAATATTTGTTTAACTAGGAGCATGAAATCTATATATAAGAAATACTACTAAAAAAATACTGCAGCACAATTGTTGTTGTGCCAGCCCACCTAGACATCATTGACTTTGATTTGCAGCCTAAAACTGAAACTTTTTAAAGAAGTCAAAAAAGAAAAAATGTCTTCTTATATCCACCAATAACACTCCAGGGTTAGTATTTCAATGAGTGCCCTATAAAGTGTGAAACCACCTCTGTGTCGTTTCCAAGAATGAAAAGACATGTTGGAAGTTAAATAGTATCATGTCAATACTTATTACAACAATTCAAACAGCCCTGTCTCTAATCAAAACTGGTACATGGTAATTTGGCGCATCGACTCTCCTCCTTGAATAAACACAATGCATGTTGTCACGGAGAAATAGAACTTCCCCATCTTGCAGCTGTCTACCTGTGGGAGAGGTCCGATGCCATGTTTGCTCTTGGAGGAGCTCCAACGTGAGTAGTTATTTGAGTACAAGGAATACATAAGTACATTTGGATAGCAATGTAATTTTATAGTCCACCTCAGACAAAACAATGAGTAAATAGACTTTAGGATATAGCATTTCCAGCATTTTGCTGGAGACAGTCTGTATAATCCTCCCACCAGTTGGAGTGATTAATAAAAATTATTACAATGACTGCTAATTATTTGTGTGCTCTATTTAAATATCATTGTGGACAAAGTTCGTAAGGCTAAGACCTGGTTAGTTTGCAGTTTGGAGCGCATGGCTACTCCACAGTGCAGGGAGATGAGTATAAATTTATTTGCACAATGTGTGTGTGTTATGTTTATTTGCATTAAGTTTGTTGTTTTAGAAGAACACCTTGACCTGAAGCTTTGGTGGTGATTTGTGTTGTGTTTATGTAGACCCAGCAGAGGGAGTGCAAGATGAATTTGAAAGGTCTGTAATGTATTGTTACGACCCAGCTCGATTTGGAGAGCAGTAACATACAATTGGAATTGGGAAAGATGGAATGAGACAATTGACAGGTTCAAGTTCTAATCAGGTGTTTAATTAACAATGGAGAGTGGCTTGAACAATGAAGGAAGATAAACTGTTCCTGTAATTCAATTAATTAATTAATTATTAATTATAATTATTAATTATATATGTTTCTATTTTTCTGTATTCATCTGTATACTGTATATTCAGCAGTGCCATTTGATATTTACCACATTCCAACTGTATATATGTTCTAATGGATTGTAATGTTTAAATTATTTGTTTTCTTGTGATAATTTACCTATTTTTGTAGTTTTATTGTCAAAATCTAATATTTTGATATGTATTTGATTGACATGTATTCCAAGAAAGCTTATTTAATAATTACATTTGTACGACAGTAAGGTCTACATTTTAGGACATCCTTAGACTTCTGCATCACTTCGACAACATTAGAAAAAGTTGTGTAATCTATCATAAGTGCGTCTGATTCAGACTAAAGTTATAGGACAATCAACAAACACACCCACCTCATCTTGACTTTGGCTTCTTCACAGCTGTCTGATACAAAGTAAACACCCGAATTGTTGTCATTATGCTTTGGTGTTTTGGTGTAGTCTTATGGTCAAAAGGCATATGAATATGTTTTTTCCCCTTGGTAGGCTGACATTACTCTGATACAAGAGGATAAGACACTTGGTTCCTACAACCCCTTGCGACTTCAGCACCTTAGACAGCACTCTCATGATGACACGTGTGGGCTGATTCAGGTTATCTCCCCCTCTGTACCTACTCTCTATCCTGTCTACTCTCTATCCTGTCTACTCTCTATCCTGTCTACTCCAACAAAAGCAGTCAAGATCCTGCTGGATTTAGTTCTATTGTTCAGTTTTCCAAACGTGTTTTATATGAAATGATATGTGGTATACTTTCCTTTCATTGTGAAGAACCACATAAGATCTATCTTCTGGGTTTGTGTAAAATTAACAGTAAATGTATTTTACCATTACGATACAGTAAGAAAACAACAATAAAAGCTGGATTGGCACAAACAAGACAATAGAAGAGATGAGACATAAACAGAGTTGCATATTTTTATTTGAATTGATAAATAATCTCTTTACAATGGTAATTACTTTGTAAGAGATGTAATGATTGATAAGACAATGTGGGAAGAAACATTTACATCCCACATCCATTAATGTTACATATTTCTTTATCACACCAGTGTGAAGCTTCGCCTCCTGCGAGCAGGTTGTCCAGCCGGTCTGGTGCAGTCTGTGTCCCCACAGCCGCACTCCTCCACATGGGTGTATGTGTAGGGAACCACATCTCCATTCAAGCAGTGCAAGTCAACAGTGCGATTGCTGGTGCGTGTCTCCTTACAGCAGGAGCAAGAATGCAGCACAGAAGCTGCTGCTTCAGAGTACCTGATGAAAGCAGAGGCTGCACTCAAAATCTGCACACATTATACCTTCACATGTTTATATTTATTAACTAACAGGTTTGTGACTTTTGAGAAATGAAGATATAGCAAAAGTTCAGTCAGGAAGAGTATTCTTCGGCATAGAGGCCTGTAGTTAAGTTCTCTTTCCATCCTCACATTCACTCCTCTTGTGCATATTTCCTTGCTGTCATTAACTGGGACTGTCCATTGAGAGAATAGCTGTTCTCATCTATCCAATAGCACAGCGATACACTTGCATTTTTATCATTTTTATCATCTTGCTGCTGTCTTTTTAAATATTATTCTCTCTCTCTGACTTCAGTACATTCACGCTGCCATTGATGTGCTCTCCCTAATACCGCCCAGTCTTTGCAGATTCATCAACTTCATTATCTATCAGCCTATCAGCCTCAGCAGAGTCATCACCCACCACCAACAGTGTCTGGACTGGTGCTGCTCAGGGCATACGCCCCTCAATCACAAAAATCTCCCTGTAGAGTCTAAGCTTAGACTTTCAGTCAAGATTTAATCATCTCATGTATGTTATACTAAATACAATTATCATTCACTTGTCTCACTTGTCCTGATTGAAATATCTTACTTACTTGGTGAAAGTGTTGCAGGATCCTTCACAATACGGCATTTCGATCTCCTGGTAAGACTGACAGTTCTTGTGTGTAATGCGGGTTTTCATGGATAGTACCTTGCAGCCCTTCTCCCTCTCCACACCTATTTAAAAGAAACATGCAATTAGCTTCTTTTCAATTAAGTACAGTCTACCCAAAAGTAAAGAAAATTTCATACTCACATATTTTACAACAGCCATTTGCTGCAGTCTGAATTGTGTCCTATGGAGGAAAATATACAACATCATAAAAAGTTTTGTTTTAACTCTAGTTCTCAAAGACACAGTAAAGTAATTTGTTGGAGGTGTACTTACAGGTTGGCAGTTGCTCTGCTGGAATGGCGGGCAGACAATATGTGAACTGACTGTTACTAAAATCTCACCGGTCTTAATACAGGTGTGATGCTCACACTTACTCTCAGGTGGTGACCAGGTGTGTCCTAGCTGGAGAGTGAAATGGACGTACACACACACACACACACACACACACATTAGCCGGGATACACACCAACATCAAAATACTGAGGTCCTTCAGGCTTATTAAACATGAACATGTGTGCCAACATAAATGATCCAACGTACCTCCAAGAGCTGCTTGGTACCATTAACATTGAGGACACAGTGTGTCTGTACACACTTCCCACAGCATTCATCAAAATTAGTTTGCATGTATTGATATCCCTGAGAGAAAGGGGGGAGTTAAGTTGCCAAGTGCAGTTTTACAGGTTCACTCTCCCAGTCAACATATTCTGATGAAAACACTGCATTGTATGTACTGCATGTTGCTAGTATAACAGGTATAATTTCTCTTACCATGTCACAGTTTTCTTGACATTGCTGAAACTCACAAGATATCTGGAATAGGCCATTACTGGGGTCGACCTTATTTGTACAGGTACAATCCTGACAAACATTCCCAGGAACTAAAGAACCAGGCTAGTAAAATAAAAGAAGAAATGTATTCATACTTCTGTTTTCAGATATACAAAACTGTAGCAGTGCAGCAGAAATCTTTACATGACAAAAGTGATATATTAATAAATTATGTGACAAATCATCATCACATTTCCATTTCTTATTTACCTGGTATTCCACATTCTTGTGGACACAAACTCTTTTAGGCTCTAGAAAAGAGTAAAAGAGTGGAAATTACGTTAAAGTGCCATTGTTGTCATTAGGTTTGATATAAATTAAAATGAATGAACTCACCACATTTATGTTCTGGACAGCATTTTCCCTCAGGGACACTGACAACTGGTATATATCCAACCGGACAGTTCATGTTGCTGTATGGGCAAGCGTTGCTTTGACATTCTTTGAAGATGATAAAATGGTGATAATTTTAGATATGAGCCATCCTCAAGAATTGTTATCAATGCATAGTTTTCAACAAATGTGCATCAAAGCGAAGCATCTTACTGCAAACAAAGGTAGTACAGCAGCGGTCTGATGGATTAGTTTGGTTGACAAGCACAAACCCTGGACCAGTGCAGTTTGTTAGAGGTGGTGTTGGGCACACCTTCGGCTTGCATGTCACAGTCTTGGTGGACTCCTCACAGATGCAATTTTGGCATTTGTACTCAAACATCTCATTAAACTGAAAGAATAAACCACAGCAATGACTTGGTTGTCTCTTGCAAGTAAACAACACATGTCAGGATAGCAGTGAACATGAGCAGAAAACTTGGCTTACCTCACGAGGAATGCCCTCAGGATCAAGACATCCTGTTGAGAAATTAGCAACTCTGTAGGCACAACTGATACCATATATTCAGCTCAATGATAAGACCTGAAGATGTACACCACACTTACCACACTTATCAACACATATACCAGACTCTTTGTTGAAGAGTTTCATTCCCTCAGGACAAAAGCAGCCCTCGGTAGTGTAGGTCATCGATGGTTCATTAGGACTGTAATGTTGAATCGTCAAGAAAGAACAGTTAGTTTATGTTATTTCTTCATGCGTTATAAATGATGAATTCAGTATTTATTCATGCTTAACTAATGCTTAATAGTGTGTACTCATTATAAAGTGTTACCAAACAGGGTATTTTAATACACTTCTTTTGCCGCTTTGCTATTAAAAATATATATTTAATGCCCCAATTAATTATGATCCTGGACTCAGGAAATGCTATAGTGCACAGAGAACTGTAAAAAGAATACACTTTTTGTTGAAACTTACTTGTCTTCACAGGTCGGTTGTTCTACAGGACCACATGGCTTGTAAACTTTGTTTGATGGGCAGTCAATTGCTGTTAGTGAAGAAAGGTTTTTTTCAAAAAATACATACTGTCAACCTAAAGTTTATAATATGTGCAGCAGTCTGTAAAATGTGCAACAATAGTAAAACAAATGAGTTCCCAGCCTATACAGTAAAATAATGAGGGTTTGGTTACCACACAGTTTGGTGTGGTTCCTCCAGTGAAGACAAACTCCAGCCTGAGCACAGGCAGCAGCATAAGTCTGCAAACTTGTGCACTCTACTACTGGGTTGGAAACATGGCAGCTATCAAAAACACAACCTTGGTAGAATTTGTCAGGAGAGACAAAGGGATGGCATTCTGCAAATACACTGTGAAAGTCAAACACAAACAAAAACACAAATAAAAAAGTGACTGTGTCTGAAGTGCAGTATGTCAAAGTTATGGGGATGAATATGTTACTACAGTGGATTATATAATGTCTACCTGCTCTTAAGCATATCACACATGGAGTCGGGACTGCATGGAACAAAGGTTGGTGGAGGTTCAGGTGGACTGGTGGGCAGTACAGATGGTATCTCGCAGTTGGGTTGGTAAATGTGTTTTGCAGGCCAATAGTCAGCCATCACAGCACAATTTCCCACCAGCTGGCCTCCAGGCAACATGCAGTCATCCTCCTGGTTGTTATTGCATGTTCCTGACAGCAGAGTCACAAAGCAGTTAATATTACCATCTAATGTCAGTTAAATTATTTAACAATATGGCCACTGGAGAGAGAGATGTTCTCACCACAATGGCCCTGTGTGTTTTTGCCAAAGTGTTGATATGGAAGGGTGACACTAAAGCCAGTGATTCCAAATGTAATGACCACTTTTAGATGAGGGATCTCCAAAATCAAGTTAATGCCAGAATCCAAGACCTTAACACCGCCTTTTGAATAAGGTAGCCTCAAACGGACTCCATCTTTTAGTGCCTATAGGGAAAAAAGTAAATACACAATGTGACAAGAAAATATACAGTACACTATATACTAATCATACTGACAGTGATAATATACTTGAAGTATATGAATTTATAATAATTGTTTCATATTCATATATACCTCTAACTGGGCTGCTCCAATAAGGTTATGATTCATGAGGGTGATAACTTGCAATCCATATGAAATAATTATTGATCGTGGACAAGACACATCTTCAGTGGGATCACAATAGACATTGTCAATATAAATTTTCAAGTTATAAATTGGTAATCTCTCTTCAAACAAGACATAAGTACAGTTTCCTTGATAACTGTAGTACAATCCATCAAATGTGATGTAATGAGGATCTCCCCAGCCTTCACATACACCTGAAAAGAGAGAACAAAAAAAGGTTCAACATTTAAAATGAATTTAACAGTGGGGTCAGTCATTCTGGAGAGAGAAAAGTTGATAGTTGCAATGAGACTCTGAACGACAGAACGGCTTACAGTCACAAGCATAATGTTGGCAGCAGTGGTAGGAATCATACACAAGAACTGGTTTCTTTCCATTGGTACAAGTGATGTTCTCAAGGGGTGGACATTCATATGGAATTATTTCAATTGTATTGTTCTCAATGCATCTGGCCATGGTGCAGTTGCACAAGTAGAAGGTCTCATTTTGCTGATGTAAAGAGAAACAATTGGGAAAATCAGTAGTACTTTTTAGTATTTTGCCAAAATTTCAAGAAAGCTTGTTTTCCTTATGTTTCCAGAGAATAACATAATATATGTAATGTGCTAGATACATAAAGATCCTTACTGTTACATTCCATTCAGGGCAAGTAGGTACAGAAGGTTTCGTTGTTGGGGCAGGTGTGGACCAACAATCTTCAGTCTTGTTGCGAATTTCACAAATGTCAGAACATATCATTGTGAGACATACACCTGACCCAATGTGTTCCTTGTCAAATATGAACTGCCCTAAAGATGAGAAAAAAGATTAAGAGTGAATTAAACTATGGTAAACCTTAAAAAGAAGCATATACAGTAGCTTGTCAATGTCAAAGACATAATTGATGTAATTCCTTTCTTACCAGGCCTATAATGCTTGCCATTAACTATACAGAAGCATTCTGTAGTGGCACTCGCCGTGACTACTGTTGTTGGCGTAGTTTCAGGTGTTGTAAGGTTGCTGATAACTTGTCCAGTTGATGGTTGCGTTGGGGGAAGCTCTGTGGGACCAGTTTCAACTTCTACTGATGTTGAAGTTGTGGAAACAGTGGTTGGCCCTTCAGTTGTAGTAGTAGGTTCAGTTGGTGGGGCTGTAGGTTTTGTGGTTGTGGTTGGTGCTTCAGTTGTTGTAGTAGGTTCAGTTGGTGGGGTTGTAGGTTTTGTGGTTGTAGTTGGTGCTTCAGTTGTAGTAGAAGGTTCAGGTGGTGCAGTTGTAGATTGTGTGGTTGTGGTTGGTGCTTCAGTTGTAGTAGTAGGTTTAGGTGGTGCTGTTGTAGATTGTGTGGTTGTGGTTGGTGCTTCAGTTGTAGTAGTAGGTTCAGGTGGTGGTGCTGTTGTAGACTCTGTGATTGTGGTTGGTGCTTCAGTTGTAGTAGTAGGTTCAGGTGGTGGTGCTGTTGTAGATTGTGTGGTTGTGGTTGGTGCTTCAGTTGTAGTAGTAGGTTCAGGTGGTGGTGCTGTTGTAGATTGTGTGGTTGTGGTTGGTGCTTCAGTTGTAGTAGTAGGTTTAGGTGGTGGTGTAGATTGTGTGGTTGTGGTTGGTGCTTCAGTTGTAGTAGTAGGTTCAGGTGGTGGTGCTGTTGTAGATTGTGTGGTTGTGGTTGGTGCTTCAGTTGTAGTAGTAGGTTTAGGTGGTGGTGTAGATTGTGTGGTTGTGGTTGGTGCTTCAGTTGTAGTAGTAGGTTTAGGTGGTGCTGTTGTAGATTGTGTGGTTGTGGTTGGTGCTTCAGTTGTAGTAGTAGGTTTAGGTGGTGCTGTTGTAGATTGTGTGGTTGTGGTTGGTGCTTCAGTTGTAGTAGTAGGTTTAGGTGGTGCTGTAGATTGTGTGGTTGTGGTTGGTGCTTCAGTTGTAGTAGTAGTTTCAGGTGGTGGTGTAGATTGTGTGGTTGTAGTTGGTCCTTCAGTTGTAGTTGTAGGTTTAGGTGGTGGTGTAGATTGTGTGGTTGTGGTTGGTGCTTCAGTTGTAGTAGTAGGTTCAGGTGGTGGTGCTGTTGTAGATTGTGTGGTTGTGGTTGGTGCTTCAGTTGTAGTTGTAGGTTTAGGTGGTGGTGTAGATTGTGTGGTTGTGTTTGGTGCTTCAGTTGTAGTAGTAGGTTCAGGTGGTGCTGTTGTAGATTGTGTGGTTGTGGTTGGTGCTTCAGTTGTAGAAGTAGGTTTAGGTGGTGGTGTTGTAGATTGTGTGGTTGTGGTTGGTGCTTCAGTTGTAGTAGTAGGTTCAGGAGGTGGTGCTGTTGTAGATTGTGTGGTTGTGGTTGGTGCTTCAGTTGTAGTAGTAGGTTCAGGTGGTGGTGCTGTTGTAGATTGTGTGGTTGTGGTTGGTGCTTCAGTTGTAGTAGTAGGTTCAGGTGGTGGTGCTGTTGTAGACTCTGTGGTTGTGGTTGGTGCTTCAGTTGTAGTAGTAGGTTCAGGTGGTGGTGCTGTTGTAGATTGTGTGGTTGTGGTTGGTGCTTCAGTTGTCGTAGTAGGTTCAGGTGGTGGTGCTGTTGTAGATTGTGTGGTTGTGGTTGGTGCTTCAGTTGTAGTAGTAGGTTTAGGTGGTGGTGTAGATTGTGTGGTTGTGGTTGGTGCTTCAGTTGTAGTAGTAGGTTTAGGTGGCGCTGTTGTAGATTGTGTGGTTGTGGTTGGTGCTTCAGTTGTAGTAGTAGGTTCAGGTGGTGCTGTTGTAGACTTTGTGGTTGTGGTTGGTGCTTCAGTTGTAGTAGTAGGTTCAGGTGGTGCTGTTGTAGATTGTGTGGTTGTGGTTGGTGCTTCAGTTGTAGTAGTAGGTTCAGGTGGTGGTGTAGATTGTGTGGTTGTGGTTGGTGCTTTAGTTGTAGTAGTAGGTTTAGGTGGCGCTGTTGTAGATTGTGTGGTTGGTGCTTCAGTTGTAGTAGTAGGTTCAGGTGGTGGTGCTGTAGATTGTGTGGTTGTGGTTGGTGCTTCAGTTGTAGTAGTAGGTTCAGGTGGTGGTGCTGTTGTAGACTCTGTGGTTGTGGTTGGTGCTTCAGTTGTAGTAGTAGGTTCAGGTGGTGGTGCTGTTGTAGATTGTGTGGTTGTGGTTGGTGCTTCAGTTGTAGTAGTAGGTTCAGGTGGTGGTGCTGTTGTAGATTGTGTGGTTGTGGTTGGTGCTTCAGTTGTAGTAGTAGGTTTAGGTGGTGGTGTAGATTGTGTGGTTGTAGTTGGTGCTTCAGTTGTAGTAGTAAGTTCAGGTGGTGCTGTTGTAGATTGTGTGGTTGTGGTTGGTGCTTCAGTTGTAGTAGTAGGTTTAGGTGGCGCTGTTGTAGATTGTGTGGTTGTGGTTGGTGCTTCAGTTGTAGTAGTAGGTTCAGGTGGTGGTGCTGTTGTAGATTGTGTGGTTGTGGTTGGTGCTTCAGTTGTAGTAGTAGGTTCAGGTGGTGGTGCTGTTGTAGATTGTGTGGTTGTGGTTGGTGCTTCAGTTGTAGTAGTAGGTTTAGGTGGTGGTGTAGATTGTGTGGTTGTGGTTGGTGCTTCAGTTGTAGTAGTAAGTTCAGGTGGTGCTGTTGTAGATTGTGTGGTTGTGGTTGGTGCTTCAGTTGTAGTAGTAGGTTCAGGTGGCGCTGTTGTAGATTGTGTGGTTGTGGTTGGTGCTTCAGTTGTAGTAGTAGGTTCAGGTGGTGGTGCTGTTGTAGATTGTGTTGTTGTGGTTGGTGCTTCAGTTGTAGTAGTAAGTTCAGGTGGTGCTGTTGTAGATTGTGTGGTTGTGGTTGGTGCTTCAGTTGTAGTAGTAGGTTCAGGTGGTGCTGTTGTAGACTTTGTGGTTGTGGTTGGTGCTTCAGTTGTAGTAGTAGGTTCAGGTGGTGGTGTAGATTGTGTGGTTGTGGTTGGTGCTTCAGTTGTAGTAGTAGGTTTAGGTGGTGCTGTTGTAGACTCTGTGGTTGTGGTTGGTGCTTCAGTTGTAGTAGTAGGTTCAGGTGGTGGTGTAGATTGTGTGGTTGTGGTTGGTGCTTCAGTTGTAGTAGTAGGTTTAGGTGGTGGTGTTGTAGACTCTGTGGTTGTGGTTGGTGCTTCAGTTGTAGTAGTAGGTTCAGGTGGTGGTGTTGTAGCTTGTGTGGTTGTGGTTGGTGCTTCAGTTGTAGTAGTAGGTTCAGGTGGTGGTGCTGTTGTAGATTGTGTGGTTGTGGTTGGTGCTTCAGTTGTGGTAGTAGGTTTAGGTGGTGCTGTTGTAGATTGTGTGGTTGTGGTTGGTGCTTCAGTTGTAGTAGTAAGTTCAGGTGGTGTTGTTGTAGACTTTGTGGTTGTGGTTGGTGCTTCAGTTGTAGTAGTAGGTTCAGGTGGTGCTGTTGTAGATTGTGTGGTTGTGGTTGGTGCTTCAGTTGTAGTAGTAGGTTTAGGTGGTGGTGTAGATTGTGTGGTTGTGGTTGGTGCTTCAGTTGTAGTAGTAGGTTTAGGTGGTGGTGTAGATTGTGTGGTTGTGGTTGGTGCTTCAGTTGTAGTAGTAGGTTCAGGTGTTGGTGTAGACCTTGTAGTTGAAGTTGGTGCTTCAGTTGTAGTAGTAGTTTCAGGTGGTTGTGTAGATTGTGTGGTTGTAGTTGGTCCTTCAGTTGTAGTCGGAGGTTTAGGTGGTGGTGTAGATTGTGTGGTTGTGGTTGGTGCTTCAGTTGTAGTAGTAGGTTCAGGTGGTGCTGTTGTAGATTGTGTGGTTGTGGTTGGTGCTTCAGTTGTAGTAGTAGGTTCAGGTGGTGCTGTTGTAGACTTTGTGGTTGGTGCTTCAGTTGTAGTAGTAGGTTCAGGTGTTGGTGTAGACCTTGTAGTTGAAGTTGGTGCTTCAGTTGTAATAGTAGGTTCAGGTGTTGGTGTAGACCTTGTAGTTGAAGTTGGTGCTTCAGTTGTAGTAGTAGTTTCAGGTGGTGGTGTAGATTGTGTGGTTGTAGTTGGTTCTTCAGTTGTAGTCGTAGGTTTAGGTGGTGGTGTAGATTGTGTGGTTGTGGTTGGTGCTTCAGTTGTAGTAGTAGGTTCAGGTGTTGGTGTAGACCTTGTAGTTGAAGTTGGTGCTTCAGTTGTAGTAGTGGGTTCAGGTGGTGCTGTTGTAGACTTTGTGGTTGTGGTTGGTGCTTCAGTTGTAGTAGTAGGTTCAGGTGTTGGTGTAGACCTTGTAGTTGAAGTTGGTGCTTCAGTTGTAGTAGTAGGTTCAGGTGGTGTTGTTGTAGACTTTGTGGTTGTGGTTGGTGCTTCAGTTGTAGTAGTAGGTTCAGGTGTTGGTGTAGACCTTGTAGGTGAAGTTGGTGCTTCAGTTGTAGTAATAATTTCAGGTGGTGGTGGTGTAGTCGATGGGGTTGAATGGGTTGTGGTTGTACATATGATTACCTCACAACATACTCTGATCTTATAGTTGAAGCACTTTCGTGGAGGTCTCAACTGGTCCTCTTGTCTACATATTAAACCATATCCCAAATCACAAGTAACAACTTGGCCAGTTTGACTCACAAAGTCATCGAAGTGCTGGTCCGAATAGTCTGCAGCTCTACAATCGATTTCTGTGCGATTTTTGCATATTTCTTTACCACTATTTTCAATGTTCTCATATGTTTCCCAGTCACTTTTGTCTTTTTTTGGGTTATCAACATCATACCACTCTGACCACTCACATGTTTCAATACATGGAGTGGTAGGAGCTGTTGTAGACTCTGTGGTTGTGGTTGGTGCTTCAGTCGTAGTAGTAGGTTCAGGTGGTGGTGCTGTTGTAGCTTGTGTGGTTGTGGTTGGTGCTTCAGTTGTAGTAGTAGGTTCAGGTGGTGGTGCTGTTGTAGATTGTGTGGTTGTGGTTGGTGCTTCAGTTGTAGTAGTAGGTTCAGGTGGTGGTGCTGTTGTAGACTCTGTGGTTGTGGTTGGTGCTTCAGTTGTAGTAGTAGGTTCAGGTGGTGGTGCTGTTGTAGATTGTGTGGTTGTGGTTGGTGCTTCAGTTGTAGTAGTAGGTTCAGGTGGTTGTGTTGTTGTAGACTCTGTGGTTGTGGTTGGTGCTTCAGTTGTAGTAGTAGGTTCAGGTGGTGGTGCTGTTGTAGACTCTGTGGTTGTGGTTGGTGCTTCAGTTGTAGTAGTAGGTTTAGGTGGTGGTGCTGTTGTAGACTCTGTGGTTGTGGTTGGTGCTTCAGTTGTAGTAGTAGGTTCAGGTGGTGGTGCTGTTGTAGATTGTGTGGTTGGGGTTGGTGCTTCAGTTGTAGTAGTAGGTTCAGGTGGTGGTGCTGTTGTAGATTGTGTGGTTGTGGTTGGTGCTTCAGTTGTAGTAGTAGGTTCAGGTGGTGGTGTTGTAGATTGTGTGGTTGTGGTTGGTGCTTCAGTTGTAGAAGTAGGTTTAGGTGGTGGTGTTGTAGATTGTGTGGTTATGGTTGGTGCTTCAGTTGTAGTAGTAGGTTCAGGTGGTGCTGTTGTAGATTGTGTGGTTGTGGTTGGTGCTTCAGTTGTAGAAGTAGGTTTAGGTGGTAGTGTTATAGATTGTGTGGTTGTGGTTGGTGCTTCAGTTGTAGTAGTAGGTTCAGGTGGTGCTGTTGTAGATTGTGTGGTTGTGGTTGGTGCTTCAGTTGTGGTAGTAGGTTTAGGGGGTGCTGTTGTAGATTGTGTGGTTGTGGTTGGTGCTTCAGTTGTAGTAGTAGGTTCAGGTGGTGGTGGTGCTGTTGTAGACTCTGTGGTTGTGGTTGGTGCTTCAGTTGTAGTAGTAGGTTCAGGTGGTGGTGCTGTTGTAGATTGTGTGGTTGTGGTTGGTGCTTCAGTTGTAGTAGTAGGTTCAGGTGTTGGTGTAGACCTTGTAGTTGAAGTTGGTGCTTCAGTTGTAGTAGTAGGTTCAGGTGGTGCTGTTGTAGATCGTGTGGTTGTGGTTGGTGCTTCAGTTGTAGTAGTAGGTTCAGGTGGTGCTGTTGTAGACTTTGTGGTTGTGGTTGGTGCTTCAGTTGTAGTAGTAGGTTCAGGTGGTGGTGCTGTTGTAGATTGTGTGGTTGTGGTTGGTGCTTCAGTTGTAGTAGTAGGTTCAGGTGGTGGTGTGTTGTGTTGTGTGGTTGTGGTTGGTGCTTCAGTTGTAGTAGTGGTTGGTGGTGGTGCTGTTGTGATTGTGTGGTTGTGGTTGGTGCTCGTTGTGTGTGGTTCGGTGTTGGTGGACTGAGTTGAAGTTGGTGCTTCAGTTGTAGTAGTAGGTTTAGGTGGTGCTGTTGTAGACTCTGTGGTTGTGGTTGGTGCTTCAGTTGTAGTAGTAGGTTCAGGTGGTGGTGCTGTTGTAGATTGTGTGGTTGTGGTTGGTGCTTCAGTTGTAGTAGTAGGTTCAGGTGGTGGTGCTGTTGTAGATTGTGTGGTTGTGGTTGGTGCTTCAGTTGTAGTAGTAGGTTCAGGTGGTGGTGCTGTTGTAGATTGTGTGGTTGTGGTTGGTGCTTCAGTTGTAGTAGTAGGTTCAGGTGTTGGTGTAGACCTTGTAGTTGAAGTTGGTGCTTCAGTTGTAGTAGTAGGTTCAGGTGTTGGTGTAGACCTTGTAGTTGAAGTTGGTGCTTCAGTTGTAGTAATAATTTCAGGTGGTGGTGGTGTAGTCGATGGGGTTGAATGGGTTGTGGTTGTACATATGATTACCTCACAACATACTCTGATCTTATAGTTGAAGCACTTTCGTGGAGGTCTCAACTGGTCCTCTTGTCTACATATTAAACCATATCCCAAATCACAAGTAACAACTTGGCCAGTTTGACTCACAAAGTCATCGAAGTGCTGGTCAGAATAGTCTGCAGCTCTACAATCGATTTCTGTGCGATTTTTGCATATTTCTTTACCACTATTTTCAATGTTCTCATATGTTTCCCAGTCACTTTTGTCTTTTTTTGGGTTATCAACATCATACCACTCTGACCACTCACATGTTTCAATACATGGAGTGGTAGGAGCTGTTGTAGACTCTGTGGTTGTGGTTGGTGCTTCAGTTGTAGTAGTAGGTTCAGGTGGTGGTGCTGTTGTAGATTGTGTGGTTGTGGTTGGTGCTTCAGTTGTAGTAGTAGGTTCAGGTGGTGGTGCTGTTGTAGATTGTGTGGTTGTGGTTGGTGCTTCAGTTGTAGTAGTAGGTTCAGGTGTTGGTGTAGACCTTGTAGTTGAAGTTGGTGCTTCAGTTGTAGTAGTAGGTTCAGGTGGTGGTGGTGTTGTAGGACAGGGTTCATTTCCATGTATCACTGTTGTATTAATGCAGATTGCATAGTAGCACATTCCCAAGTTGTCAGTCACATTGTAAATAACTTCATTTTCCTCATATCTTGTCCCATTATAAAAGCAACCATCACATTCCTCCACACACATCTGGGTCACCTCATCAAATATGGGCTTATTTATCGGACATCGAGGGTAACAGCCTGTAAAAACCACAGCATAAAACATTGTTATATTACCATAAAATAATTATTTACATTGTATTTCAATCTTTGACACTGAAACTGACCAGGTTGTCTCTACCTTCATTTTTTGTCACATATAGTAAATCGGATTCATTCAACATTTAAGATTTTAAGCAGCACATGAATCAGAGGTGAGGTGAGACATTGTGAGTTAACCTCTTACCTTCCAGGTTGGGTATAGGGTTGCTACAAATTCCATCTGGATTTAAACAGGTCTTATAACAAGGTGTGTGACAAGGGCTGTAGTGCCAGTTGCATTCATCTGGGTTGTTGTAGTAATCACAGAAGATAGCTAGGAGGAAATGATGAAAGGTATGTTATGTTTAAAATAAAGGAAATATTGAATAAAATAAGTAGATTAATCTCAATCTCAAACTTAAATTTCATCTTCTATATTCTTACATTATATTTATATCAGGGCTCAAGTTTACATTGAGTTTAAGCTAAATATGGGAAGTTATCGCTCACTACAAATGGCAGAAAACTATCATAGATAATGATTAAGGGAAAGGCTTAGGTACTTTTAAGTAACAACCTTCAAGACAATTAAAAAATCAATTCAATACCAAATTACAGCTGATTCAAGTATGTATTGAACTACAGGAATTATGTAAAGCATTGCAGTCTTAAAACTACACTTTTCACTAGGCATGCACCCATAGTCTCAGTAACATATATCAGCTTTAATTACATTAGGTGTCCATTCAATTAAATAAATAAACAAACAACAAATATATAAATAAATAAGTAGGGTTGATTATTGTATTTCAGTACAGAAAAGAGAAAATTAATTATTCTCCTATATACATCCCACACATCAATCTTTAAATGCTGGTATCATAAGATTTTTGGGATCTAAAAACAGGATCTTGGTCAGAAAAGGCTGAAGAAAGAACCCAGTTTAATATGAAGGTAAAATTGTTGTTTACTTACGACAGATTTCCGGAGTTCTCCATGCAACGCAGGAACCAGCCTCATTACAAGCTTGAGCATAAGCTGCAACTGCTGAGCAGAAGCACTCACAGTCTCCTCCGGCGTCGCAGGCACATGAGTCTTTCACACAGTTGTCATAATATGGAAGGGGATTTACCTGTTATCAAAATAATATATATTTTTTAAATGCGTTTTTCAACCATGAACGACTTTGAATAACAACAAATTAGAGACAAATCTACCATTACCTTATTATGGCAGTCTTTGAATGTTTTTCCAGTTATAATGCTGCACATCATTTTTGCCCAGTGGTGTCTGTTGGGCGTTGCTCCACAAGGGTCAAAGTTCATTCCTGCATCTGGGCAGGTGCTCGACATTTTCCAACTATTTGCAAATTCTAACACATTGCTAACTATCAGCTGACCCTGGGTGGTAAAGTCATTCTGTCCATCGCCATCAAAATCTCCACACAGACCACATACCTCTCCCTGAACGGCCAGAACAAAAGAACAATATTTCATATCAGTTCTCTTTGGCATTATAATGAATACACATTTCTAAGGTATATATCTTTGTATGTTTATAAACAGAATATCCCATTGTAATCACGAATATAAGTGGCTCACAGACTTTTTCAGTAATGTTAATATACTGTACATCAAGATGAATACAGATGAATAGACCAAATACTGTCACTCACGCTGTGCTGTGGTTCCAGGAGGACGCGAACAGTTGTTTTGCGATCCCACATCACTGCCAGACCAATGGCAGATTCTATCACCAGATACAAGCCGACATGCCTTATTTTGTACTGAATCTGTGTGCCATGTCCCAGGTCCAGCTCTTCATATTTACCCTTCGCTAGTTTGATTTCCATTTTCTGTAATGTTAAGGAGATTTCTGTTGCTTTCATTGTGATGTAAAAAAGTTTGATGTATGACAAAGGATTCTAGGCACAAAATAGATGTTGGTATGAGGTCTTACCCCCAGTTGGATTCGGACAATTTTGGAGCATGTTGTGCCTGTAGTTCCACACGGTACATTTTCTGTGATGACTCCGAAGTTGTCCTGAACTGTTTTATTGCCACATTTGTTCTTGAAAGAGAGATATTTTGCTAGTTTTATACATAGTAAACAGAGACACTTGATCAAAATAATCCATAATACTTTAAGAGTCTTAAAGAAAAGCTCAGTAACACATAAATTAAAAGTGCAACTGATCCCCAGAGACATGACATAATGTAGTTAGCTGCATCAAATATTGATTCTTTCAAGTCTGATGTTCAAGATTAGCAATAAGTTTCAATTTTATAAATTTCTTGTCTATGAATTTCTGAGATTAAGCCTGAGACAACGTAAAAGTGAAGCATAACTGTTGACTCCGTCCAAAATCACTGCCTGTTTACTGTATAGTGCACTACAGTATATTTACTGTCTGCCATTTTATTTGAGTGTCTGAATTCTGAATGTGTAAATTTATCCAGTAGATAGGACAAATGATTGTGTCTATAGTATCTTCACTACTTTCTACTGACAATCCATCACTGCATATATAGACAACTCAAGAGCTGTCAGTTACGATGTGAAGATTGATTTTGAAGTTAGAATACATTTGGATGATTTTGACGTGTATGTTTACCTTGACAGCAACATAGCCACACTTTCCTTGAAACCCATATGTTTTCTTATCAAATGTATTGTAGTGACCACTCCCATAAATAATGCAAGTTCCTGGACATTTTTTCTCTGTGCACTCCCAGTTTCCACTTTTGCAGGTACTAGATGTATCAAAAAAGGTTAAAATTATTAAAGTAAGTGAGTAAAACATGCAGCCAAATATGATAATATGTGTTCACTATGCTATATGATATGTCTGATTAAAAACAAGGTCGTACCAGGTGTTGCATTGGTTAGGGATTTGTGATCCAGAGGCATAAATATGCCCATTATGCTGACATGGACATTCATTTTCTTTCACACAGGCACCTTTGCCATCATAAAGGAGGCCACTTGGACACTGACAGCCAGATTCACATTCTGTGGAGTCCTGGGAAGATAGTAATATAACGGTGACAGAAAACGACAAAACATTACTGATACTGTCAAAAATTTCTTTTCAAAACTTGTTTCTAGAAACTACTGTAGAAACAAGTGTAACTATACACTGTGTGTTGCATGTTCAATGTAACATACTGCAGGAAATAAATATTAGATCCAGTTATTTGAGACACAGTGGCAATAATCGCTCACACAATCATCGTTGTCCAGATTTAAACAAGTTCGAGCACACTGCAGTCCAAGTTCTCCTGTGGTCGCAGTGGAGCAGTTGAAGTATACTTGTGGAGATGGGCATACTGTAACGGAAGTAGAAACTGATTAAATATTCATTGTATCAACCAAATGCTTAAAGAAAAAAACATAAAACAAAAAAACTTACATGATGAACGGGCTCTCCAAGAACGGCAATGAAGTATTCCATTAGTGCACACGCTAGAAAAACATACTAAAGTTAAAGCAACACCAACAACGTAGTTTATGTAAATCTTATACACTGCAGACAAAATTATTCTAAATCCTTAGTCTAAGATAATTAATTCCATTGTCCCCAAATTAGAAAAAACTGACTCACCAGTGCTCGTCTTTGATGCTGATAGACTTTCCGGGTTTAATGTAGACTTCGTTATGGTAGCAGGAACATTTTTCCACGGGGACGCAGATGCCGTTTTCGTTTAGGTAGAGACCCTCAGAGCAGGAGCAGCCGTCCACAGGCAAGAAGTCAGAAGTGCAGCTCTGCTGCTTTGAGCCCAGTGATCTGCAAGTCAACTGGCATCTCTGATGCTTGTATGAGAAGACCTGAGTTGCTGGGCAGCTGTTTGTGTATTTATCTGTTTTGTGCATAATGTTACAATGGTTACTTAATACTCAAACAATGAAAAGGAAGATGATCATAAAACTCCAGAAATCGTTACTCAACTTAACCAATGAATGAAAGAAATGCTTACCGCACACATTCTCTCTCCAGCCTGTCAAAAACAGTCCCTTTGATGCACAAGCACGTGCGTAGGAGGAGAAGACGGCACACAGGCAGGCCTCACTCTTGTCACAGTTACAGCTGGCATAAGTACATCGCTGCAGAAGACAGCAAACACTTTTAGAGAATTACAGTCCCATCACAAACTAATTCAGTTAAAGACAAACCGGAAGGTTTTGCTGTACCTTATGGTACATCTCAGGATCCACCACTGAATGGCATTGAGCAAAGGTGCTGTCTGGACTGACCAGTAAGGCACACCAGTGTTTGGCGTACCACTCTGAGAGGGGAGAATCAACATTTTTATTACAAATTCTATTGAGCTGTCTAATTATATGTATCATACATTCAACAAACAAGTAAGTTTAAAGAAGAGAATCATTTTAAGACAAAAAAAACGGTGTAATAATCAACCACTGCTGTTTACCATTTTCCAAACTGAGGGAACAGGGGTCATCAAGTCTTTCCTCTCTGTCTCTGCATGCGCGACTTGCTTTCCACGAATTACAGAAGGTTGCTGATGTACCCTCCACAATCCCCTGAGGAGTCTTCATGTCATCAGACAAGATCATGTTGTAGTTCCCACATAAACCTGAAAAAAAACAAATATTTTATAAATAAATCTTTATATTCAAATTTTTTTTCAGTACTTAAACACAGACAACCAACAATTGTCTGAAACCACAAAGAAAAAAATGGAAGGTGTGAAATACCGTAAAACAAATTACAAAATGGATATGGTAAATCATAGGATTAGGAATTTGGTTAATGTATTTGAATTCAGATTAAATAAGAAAACATATATTATACACTAAGAATTGGCGAACTGCAGTGTGGTAAGATAGGGCCGGCTCATTCTTAAGTAACAAAAACACAACAATTCTTATTTTTGGGTGATTGTACATTAATGAAAACACAACTATTAACATTATATTCCATTTCTGCCAAAATATAATCTTAAATATTACACAATTGACCTTTAAATAAAGAGTATAACTAAATACATGTGTGTCCACATGTCCAGCACTACTTGGCCAACAAGAATTGTGAGCGGTTCATTGACAGTATGATCACCAACAGCTGGCTTCATGGAAGCTTTGATAATTTTTTCCCATAAATGTGTGTATTTGTGACAGCTGTGTATGGCAAATATTCTTTCATAATACCCATACACTCATATATCAACGTTACTGCTGTCATCCTCATCAGACTGTAGTAGGTAATTCCTACAGCAACTAATAATTCATTGTAAATTCACTGTATTCTTTGATGATGCCAATGCTTCATGTTAAGACAAATGTAAAACTTACCACGTGTCTTTGCTCTGTAGCTCTGATCCAGACTGACATAGACTTGCATGATAGGCACATGCTGGATCTGAATCTGCAAACCAAAACTGGTCTGGAGCATGACGTGAAAGGATGACGCGTGGAAGATGTTGATGTCACCTTTAAATAAAGAGAAATACAAAAACAGTCAGGTCATCTGCTGACGTCAATCTATAAATGAAAGATGATATATTTAATTCAGAGTTCCTTATAGTCTGACCCACCTGAGTGGTATGGCAAAGTGATGGTCTGCATATTCTGCTTTACTGTGCCATCAGAAGTGAACATTAACACCTGAATGAAAACAGAATTGATCATTAGAGTCTGGCAGGGATCAGTGTGAATTGATTAATGACTATAATCTTCTTAACTCACATTGTTTCTGTCATTGTTCAGCACGATTTTAAGGCTCTTTAGACAAGTGTCAAACTTCTGGTTTACACATGGAACCAACTGAACCAGGATGGTAAACTTTGGACTTGCATCATCCTGAAATACACATATTGTGAGTGCAATTAGATAAATAACACATAACAAATTATATATATTTATATTTAACTGTACAAAGCTATGTCTCACACACCTTGCTTTGCACTTTGGCTAGGGTGTAGTAACACTCTCCGTGGAAGGTGTAGGTTTTCCCATCAAAGGTCGTCACATGTGAACCCTCTTCAACTGCACATGTGGCAGGTGTCTGAAGGCTCTTACAAGCCCATCTGCCCTCAAAACATGTACTGAAACAACCCAAGTCATTTTAGTTAACGAAATATGAGATTAAAAAAATTCAATATTATGATGACATTATGAGATGTTAGACATACCATTCCTCTCTGTCCAATCGGTAAACCTCTCCGGAGTTATAGATTTTGTTGTGTTTGCACTGACATTCAGATTGAGCAATACACCCTCTCATTGAAATATCATCAAACACAGTGCCTGAAGGAGATATGTGACACGAACATTTACAAACTAGGGAGATGAAATCTGGAAGCATCTTTAAGGTTAATATAAAGTAAAACAGGAGACTAAAATTATAGTATGTACATGTAAACAGCACTAACCAGGAGGACAGAAGCAGCCGTCCATTTTGTGATCCTCACACAGGGAACTTGTGTCTTGATTTGTGCATGTATCCATGCAAGGGGAACCGCTCTCTTCATAAATCATGTTGAATGGGCACTGTTTAGCTGTAAAGATATGGTACAATTGAAATAAATGGAGATAGGTTTAAATGTTTGTGAATTATTCAATAGTATATAAGGGGTGGAAGAAACTCATTTGACTTTTCAGCAGCAAGTGCATCAAAATAGATTGTTTTGTGTACTTATTTTACTTGCACTTTTGTAATTTAACTGTATTTTGCTACATTTTAAATCACTTACCCAGAACTTATTTTTCACCTCTTTGTGAGCGCCAAAAACTCGAAAATAATATGCTATTGTATAACATACAAATGCTTTTAGAATAAAAGTAATATTCTCATTCTAGAGCTAAATTCTATAAGCTAATGTTCAGAAAAGGTAAGTAGTACTTTTACAGGACCATTCATTTTTCACTGGGCTGATTTCATCATAAAATAAAGATGATAACAAAACACAAAACATTACCACAGAACTGAGGTGTCCTCCAGTTGGGAGGCTGCCCTCCCGCATGGGAACATTGTCGAGAGAACTCCGACAGTGTGCTGCAGACACAGAAGTCATTAGTACTGTTGGTGCAGCCACACATGTCCTGCACACAGGCCTGGATGTAAGGTTTAGGGTCAATCAGTTGGGTGCAGGAGCTCCAGGACGCCGAACGCAGCATCTGGTCACAGGTGGTTTGCTAAAAGTGAAAAAAAGGCAGATAATAGAGACAAAGTTACTCTGCTGCAAGTGCAAATGTTTATCTTATTAAATACCACTATTGCTGATACTGTATTTATAATGAACTCACAAACTCCTTGCAGGAAACCAGCACATCATCCACTGATTCACCTTCCTCTTCAAAGGGGTCCTCACAGTCATCGTTTGGACGATGGACTTTGTGTCTGTTGCCAAACTCAATGGGGCTCATTTTGCGACCTGCAATTGTAATGTAATTATAGTGTCACAAATGTCACAGATACAGTGTATGATTGTTAAAATGCATTAATACATAAAGTGAATAACCATATATACCATTATGAATTAACTCATTGTAGACAGGAACACCATTAAAGTCTCCACAAAGTCCACAAGTACGATTAGCATATTCAGGATCCATTTCCACCTACAACACAGCAAGAGGTTATCACAACCTTTTTCACATTATAATATTATATTATATTATAGTGTACTATTAAAAGCGATAAAATAAATAAAATATTTATAAGCTTTTACCATGACTGCATCGTCACCATTCCACATGACAGTGATGCCAACTTTGGATTGGAGCTTGATGTAAACTGCATTTTTTTCCACTTGTACGCCTGCGTTGTAGTATGGCATTTTGATTCTGTAGGAAAAATGTTTTATTATAATGCACGAATAGAAAAGAGAAGTTCAGTTGTTTTGCCTTTGCGGGCTGTACGGCTTGTTACTCACGGAAGGCCGTTCACAGTGATCAGGCCCGTGGTGAGGTGGAATGAAAGGTCGTTGATGGTGACCACCACATAACTAACTGTAGGGTCTCCATCGCTCTCCTTCCTCTTCATGTGCACTGAAAACTCCTGGTAGGTCTCGTGGCAGTCGGAGGCCAGGTTGTATTCACACATACCAGGGAACTGATACACATCCCCATCAAATGTCTTGAAGTGCTCTCTGCCCCATGTGCTGCAGATGCTGCTGACATGGTTGTGAACTGGGGGAGACATAAAGCATAGAAACCAGTTTGAGTTACTAAATGCTCTACATAAGTGATATCAGAGACAGTGCTAGACATTATTGATGTATGTATACATAATAATAATAATAATAATAATACATTTTATTTATAAGCGCTTTTCTAAATACTCAAAGACACTTTACATAAAAACATGAAAAGCAGAATAATCAATTCACACTATCCTGAAAAGAGTTCCACAGTGAAACAGTCTTACCTCGTCTGCCTTCAACATCGATGACAATTGCGAGAGACAGAGCAAGAAAACACAACGACACACATCTCCACCTCATTGTTGCCTCCGTGGGCTTTCTGTCACCAGAGTAGGTAATCGTCAAATGGCACTTGGCAGCCCTTTATATTGAGAGTTTTTGCTCCCACCTTCCCTCTGAGGGAACTTAAGTTTTATTGCCAAGATGCCAAACATATGTTGAATGGATGTCTGACGCCTTTCACAAGTCCAATACCATTATTCCCACATCTTCCTTATCTCTTTATTGAACAAACATGTTTGCATTTCGATTAAGAATTTTTATTCCTGGAGGAATGAGCAGCAATAAAAGAGGTTTGCTGACAGCGTGCTCCTCTGTTTTAAACTTCTTTAAAAAGTAGTTACTCCTGGACGAAATAATAAATCAGTGTCACAGAGTGAGCAAGTCTTGAAGATGCCATACTGGGGCCAATTTCAGTAAAATTCTACTTTTCAATTGAACAATGAGAGCTTCTTAGCCATGGCATCTTGATATGAGAATTCTGTTATGTTATGATTAAGATAAATAAAAAATAAGATGTTGCTTTATTGATCCACTGTAGGGGAAATTCAAATTGGCCCAGCAGCTCAAGGAAATGTAGCACAAAGAGTTTTGAGTATATTAGCAATTAGCCATGAAGTGGATATGTATTGCTCAGTATTTACTGATTATGTTATTATTATTAAAATACCATTAAATAAAATATATACACTATATACAGGAAAGGAGAATACACCTTTGTACAAGATCCGAAAGTATTATGTATGTACATGGGCAAAATAGGTTGGTGTGGTTGACAGTTTAACTGAGGTAGGAGGTACTGAGTGTCTAATGTTGTGGAGTCTAATGGCACAAATGAGTCTGTGGCTGAACGTGCTCCTGAGCTGTTTCAGTATAGAGAGGATGAGAGGGGTTGGGGCACCCTGGTAGCTCACCCTGTAGAGCTGGCGCCCCTTGTACAAAGGCTGAGTTCTTGCTGCAGCTGCCCAGGGTTCTACTCTGAGTTGTGGCCCTTTGCTGCGTGTCATCCACTCTCTCTAATTTCCATACATATTTTAATTATAAAGATAATAATTGATAATATTGGAAAATTGTGAAAATAAAATAATCACAATAATATTTTTTCTTCTAATGAGCATAAATTAAAAGCACCACGGCACTGGGATCACCAAAATAAAACTAAAGGAAAGTAGAGATCTCGTGAGTTAGGGTCATACTCACGAGATCTCTACTGTCCTTAAAGGTCATACTCCCTTTGGTTGTACAATGCCTCTGTAAAACACTTGTGACTTATGTAAATACATTTTACTTACTTACTATGTAAGAATGTGAAGAAAATAACATGTATTAATCGCTTTGTATTGCCATGTGTGAATTGATTGTGACGTAGCTCCCTATGGCCAATAGCAGCCTGTGGACAGATTTATATATAAAGGACGTTTTTCTGTGTCTTGCCTTTTCTTCTGCTCCCCTACAGCACCAACAGCGTGCTACACTCGCTAATTGAATTGGAGTCGGCTAATGGCACCCACTCTCAACCAATAACGAAACCTATATTCAAATGGGATACAACTTAAAGTTAATATTTGTTTTAATGTGGTTGGAGACTATGCATTATCTAAATTGCGTCTGTATCGTGAATAGCACAGGATGTGCAACTGAACTGACTGTATTACATCCTGATTGCAGTCATCCTCTACCTGCACTGTCACATTAATACACACAGGACTTGGCATCGTATCAGACAGCAAACTCTCAGATGTAATGACAACAGGCTTATCTCGTGGGTAGTTGTTTTAACCCCATTTAAAGGTTAAGTACTCTTTTAGAGATCGAAAAAACATAAAGGTACACACAGTATTACTCCAAGTTCAGGTAACAGTTCATTAAACGCCAAAGTAATACCCACCTCTTATTGTTCAACAGATTCTTTAACAGAGTACAGAGGAGCTGTGAAGAGCATTTGTTTTACAGCTGAGGAGCGTATTAATTGCTCCAGCTGGTGACCTTTCACATAATATCACGCAGGTTCAGCCTCATACTGTAAAACCTGTTTACGCATTTGTTTTATCTGTGGTAATATTATAACAAATTATAAATTATTCTATTACAGTAATAGTCTAAGTTATTTTGCATGTTCTCAAATAGTTACTCAAAGAAAACTCCTCCAAGTGCAAACAGGGCAGAGGACCACTCCCACAGGGAACAGCTGCGCGATGAGGAAGATGTATTATTATTCCTGTGAGACACATACTGTGTTGATTCAGGGAGGACGGTGACTCGCCAAATTGTCTTAAGACAGTTTTGGTAAGAGGGTGGACTATTCAAAATGTTGTAATCCCTGTGGACTTAATACTGTTTAACATGCTTGCTGTAATATCCCATAACACAGACTGAAGTGACAACTTAACAAGGCAGCATGTCCAAATACAACACAAGATTTAAAAAAGAAGAACAAAAGAAATGTAATCAGAAAGTGGTCCAATACATGAATTTGCTGCAGTAGTTTTCCTATATTCATTTTAATTTTGGGGTATATTTTATTTAAATTTTAAATAAATAGGTTTTATGGTGTTTTTATCTCATATTTAATGGACTGAAATACTTTAAAATGTTTAAATGTCTTAAGAACGTTATGGTGAATGTCATCATTAGGTTTAGTTATTTGACCACAGAAGGCTGGCTTCACTTATTTAAAAAAAAGGAAAGGTGTGATAAATAAAGAGGAGAAAGGGAGAAGAGGAAGAACATTTCTAAGGAGACTTTAGCTTTTATTTTTCATTCAACTTGTCTGTAACTCATTCAAACTCATATTTGGGCAACAAGTTCTCCAAAACAGAGAATAAACAAAATAGTTTTTCTATTATTATGATTATTATAAGGACAATAAGTTAATTAGTTAAGATTATAGAAACCTGAAATAAAACAACCCCAGTTGAAGTTCTTAGCTAAAGTTGATTCACAAATACTGAGCCACTGTACAACTCAGCCAGAGGAAGCCTTTCTGTTAAAGACAATATTACATGTGTTACCTGCTGTTACAACACACAGAAACAATGACTACTGCCTTATGAGTAATGCATCCATTAGCATATGATGCTGATGCTAAAGTAGGTCTAATTATTAGGGCTGCAACAAACAATTATTTTGAAGAATCAATGAATGTTTTGATTATTTTCCCATGGTGAAATCATTAAATATCTTGTTTTGAGCAATGAACAGTCCCAAAAGGTTTTTGCTTTTTCAAAATGATCATGATTGTTTTACATTGTTTAATAAGTTTACTGTAATAGTAATTATTACATGACCATATGAGACAGTACAAATGTTATTGCAATGCCATTTATTTGATCTAAGTCAGTGCATTTACCTGTACATATGAATGAACTATTTATACATTTTAAGTGAAAATCACACTAAACAAAAAACAAAACAGCAATTTAGGATTTTTTTTAAATATTAATTTTTAAGCTTTTCTCTGCTACTGAGGGCCAAACTGAACCTTATATATTTGTATAATGCTGAAGATCACTGTATAATGTTAAAGATTGTTCTGGGGAAAATATAGGCTAATAGCTAACGTTAACTAGTATTTTAGTCTATCATTATCAGCATTTGCTAATTAGGTAGAAATCCAGATTAGCTCAAGATGAATTAGTTTAGAGATCAAATAATATATTATAACCATTTCTTTCGACTCATTTCATAATCACAAACACGGTCCTGTATTATGAATCAAATTATTGTTTAGGTGTGTGTTAACAGAAGGATGTTGATTAGAGGAACTCACCAAGGTGGACTAACAGGTCCATCATTACATAACACGGTAAACCTGAACAGCCTGCAGTTCCCTCCGCACACTGCAGGTGGCGGTATGCGTGCGCACCTGAAGTGTCCGACCACAAGAAGAAGAAGACGGCGCCGTGTGTACGTCGTTCGCGCATGCGCATCCGGGTGGTTTGTTCTAAATGGAGGCTGTTTGAAATGTCGTCTGGTATTTTATTTAATATTTACCAGCTAGTTACATCTGCAAAGACCGGTCACTATGGGTGAGTCCACACGTGAGAAGTACTGTTTTCTTTTTTGTGTGACAGTTAAATTGCAGCAAGCCGCCGTTAAAGGCCACATTTATATCTGCTAGTTAGATTGTTAATCCGTGTAAAGTTTACATGGAGCCCACAGCGATAGTTACTCCATCCACAGTCAGCTGAAATCAAACTGTAAACTCTGTTTAAAGTCACTGGGAGCCACAATGAATGCGAAGCACCACAAACTGGGAAGTTGAATCAGCACCGCTGTAATAAACCAGTTGCAATGAACTCTTGTTGTTACAACCTTCATGTTCTTTAGGTGCACATTACATAATAAAGTGATAACTGGGTGTAAACTGTGACAGACATAAGACACTTTATTTATCAGTGCAGGCATACAACAGGGTGACCAGCAGCAGCAATAAAAACAAGATGATACAGATATTGATGAAGAGGTAGTTCCCTTTATCTGTATATTTAAAGTATTAAAGGCACTTAGATTAACAGGTAAACAGTGACAGTGTACAGGGTCTACTAGTGTAGCACTAAAAATATATTGCATAACAATTAAAACAGTTAAACAGTACACAGCAGAGACATGAGATGTTTATTATGTAAGAAAGTGTTGGAGTACATTAGCAGCAGTTTGGGGTTGAATTATTGGTTGTATTATTACAGTCTATCAGTCCAACTCCTGTGAGGGGGTGAATGGGGGTAATGGAGGCTACAGTCTGTCTGTTTGGCCTTTGATGGCTCTGTATCTCTTCCCCAATAGCAAGGGGACAAGCAGACACTGACCTGGTGTTGACTGATGATAATTTAAACCTGTTTAAAGTCTGTTGTTTGCTACTCCAGTGAATTAAATACTTGTTTAAACAAGGTATGTCATCACATTGATGCCCAAATCCAATACTTTGACGGTCTAATAGAGAGATTTAAGCGACCTTAGTACAAACAATATAACTTGTTTTAATTTGTCTGGGTTTAGTCATATCAACCAACTCTGATGTTTTTTTTTTTATTCCA